TTCAGGAGGGCCAGTTCCATCCAATGCAGGAGCAAGACTTGCCTGCTGTCAAGACGTTTATACACTCAACTACCTAATGACATATATGCACTACAATGTCCTCGCTTTTGTTGCAATGCTTTCGATATTTTACGTTCCTGTGATGCATTAGCGGTTTGGCCTTAAACGGTTACTCAATCTGTTGCGTTTCAAGCACATCGCCACGCACCACCATTCCATATCTAGCGATCATGGTGTTTCGATCTAGGGTATCCGCGTTGCTATCAACTGGACTAACTACTACCTTATGTCATATTCATATACAAAGAACACTGAGAGCCTCAGGCAAAATAGTAGGACCGGCTTTCCTCTCTTAGGGTCGATTCTTCTCACCCTATCCCACAGTAGCTATAAGAAAGTAGACTCCTTTACTTACACCTTCGCAAAACCGCCCAACATTTATCAGTGGCTAAGCTTCATGACGATTGTCATCAGAGGCCCTACAAGGTTTCCGCTACCAATGGCGTAAAATAGCCGCCGCAACTCAAGAGCCTAGACCCATACGTGTCATACCAGACGACATCTCATGAATCAATCTCATCCGAATTTGAATAGGTTTCACGTGCACCCTTGTCACTGTCAGTAACCGAACAGAAACAACAGAAACAGGACACAGAGGCTTCATTACGTAGCGTTTCCTCAGAGGGGGTCCTACTATAGTACATAGTCTACATGTTGTAGTAGAGTCTCCAGTAAAGACCCCTTCGCATAGCAGAACCTTGTCAAACTTGGCCGTTAAACTGGAGATAAGCAACGCTTCACCTCGACAACAGAATCGGCAACAGCAACCTAATCTTACCAGCTCCAATATAATGTCTAGGTCCAGATTCTGTCTTTCTCACAGCTAAAGGGAGTCAAGTCTACAGATCGTCTGCGAAAGCCTGTCTTGTGCTATACGGTAGAATACCAGTTATCAGCCCTCGAGACAGTCACCACGATCAACATTCGTGGGAACATGAGATCCTGTCAATTCGAATTTTCCGTCTTTGCTACATAAACCTGCAGATCTTGAAGAACCTTGTTTCACGTCCGAGCTCTGGGTCAATGGCACGCTATTGAGTGAGATTCAGGAGACGGCAGAACAGACAATATGCTATGGACCAATCGGTGGACTATCCGTGTGGAGATCTACGCTTACCGTAATGTAGGTATGATACAGTAATTAACAAAAAACAGAAAAGCCAAAGCAAGCAAGCATTAGTGAAGAATCTTGATGCGAATACGTGCCATTGTATAGAAGAAGAAAGCAAGAACGGTTCGACAAGTAGAGGCTCTTCCATTGCCTAAGTAGTAGGTAGGTAGACCGTATATTTTTAAGCATTGTCTGGTATCTGTAGACTCAACCGGACAAATCCTAACTCCCGCGTAGATGCCCATTGTTTCGTCAAACAATCGTGCTAGAATGGCATCTAATATTACATTTTCTTTGCGTATGTGCTAATTTTATCCTCCCCCTTTTCACTGCTTTATCGTGCAGCAACCTCAACATCCTGACCCTCAAACTTGGGTAGCTCGCTCTCAACCTGGGCCCAGGTCTTGCTGCCATCCACAAGTGATTTGATGGCATCAATAATCTTCTCCTGCTCAGCTCGGACCTGGTTGGTGCTGTCGCGGTCTCGCAGAGTAACAGTGCCATCCTGTGCGGTCTGGAAGTCAATCGTGATGCCAAGAGGAGTACCAAGCTCGTCGTTTCGGCTGTATCGCTTGCCAATACTGGCAGACGAATCGTCGACACGGCTAGAGATACCAGCACTACGAAGACGCTGCGAAAGCTGCTTGAGAAGAGGCTTGAACTGAGGGTTAGAAGAGAGGGGAACAAGGAGAACCTTGGTGGGAGCCACGGTGGGAGGGAAAGACAGGACCTGGAGAATGTTAGTGTTTGATCATAAAGCATATCGAAGGGAAGATTTCTTACTCCACGGGCCTCATCACCACCCTCAGTACCACGAGTCCAGAAGCTGTGCTCCATCAGAGAGTAGAGGATACGGCCAATACCGAACGAAGGCTCAATGACGTTGGGCACAAACTCGCGGGTGTTCTCAACTCTCTTGCGGAACTCGATGGCAACAGAGTCCTTGTTGATCTGGACCTTGCCGTCGGCAACGCCAGCAACCTCGAGGGTGATGCTGCCGTTGTCGCTCAGCTCCTTGGCAAGCTTCTCTCGCTGCTCTTGTGGTGTGGCCAGGAGAGCAGCCTCGACAGTCTTGGCATCCTTCTTGAACTGAGGACCGAACTTCTTCCTCTCGATATCGATCTGCCACTCCTCAATGACAAGAGGAGTCTCACGCTGCTCACGAACAACCAGGGGAGCACCGGTCTTCTTGGCGTGCACGCTCAAATCGTAGGCACTTCGGTCGGCACAGCCAACACACTCGATCCAGCCAGAGCTGGTGAAAAGCTCAGCGTCCCAGCAATCACAAGCGTAGTGGGCCATCTCGTTGGCCATGTGCTGACGGAAACGCAGCTTGGTCATGTCGATACCAATCTTCTGCAAGAACTGGTGAATACGGGCGAGGAAGTAACCCAGAGTCTCGTTATCCACGAGACCTTCCTTAACAGCCTGGCCAATCTTGACAGTTCTGGTTTCAGTCTTGCCAGACAGTTGGGTATCACGGTCGAGAAGGACGAGCTCAACATCCTCAACCTCGTGGAATCGGTGGTGCTTCTTGCCGCCCTCAGGGTCGACGAAGTGCTCGATCTCGGCCATAAGGAACTCGCGGACTCGCAGCAGACCGGCGCGAGGGGAGATCTCGTTACGGTATGACTTACCGATAGAGGCAGAGGCGAAGGGCATCTGGGACTGGTTGAACTCGAGAAGCTTGGCGAAGTTCAGGAACTGGCCCTGGGCAGTCTCGGGACGAAGGTAACCGGGGTAGTTGCTGCTGGGGCCGATAGAGGTCTGGAACATGAGATTGAAGGAAACAGGCTCCGCAGGCTGAACACCGGTGGCAGGGTTTCTAAGATCGTACTTCTTGATAAGCTCGCCGAGCTCAGGGCCGCCGTAGTTGTCGATTCTGGCAAGGACCTCCTCGTACTCCTGGACGACAGCATCGTCGAGCTTGACTGCCTCAGTCTTGGCCTTCTTCTTCTTCTTCTTGGGGTCCTCCTCCTTCTCCTCAATCTTCTGGCCACGGGCCTCCTTGTCGCCGTTCAGACGTGCCTCAAGAATGGCCTCGACGAAATGGTCAGCTCGGAGAATCTCACCGTTCTTGGGATCCTTGCACATCCAGTCGGCAAACTTGTCGACGTGACCACTGGTCTTGAGAACCTCGTGGGGAGTCAGGACAGTGCAGTCAACTTCGAGCATGTCCTCCTCGAGGATGAAGTGTTTTCTCCATTGCTCAACAACAGCTGCTTGAAGTGCACAACCGGGAGGGCCATAGTCGAACAGACCACCAACACCGCCGTAGATCTCGAAGGAGGGGGTATAGAACATGCGTCGTCGGAGGATAGATTCGAGAACAGCCTTGTCAAGGGGCTGGCCCTTGAGGGTGGTCGCGCTGGAAGTCATTGTGTCTTTGGAGTGCTTCTGCGACTTTTGCAGTTTAAAGGCGTTGAGGGGTCGTGAGGTCGCAAATGTGCGAGTGCGGGGTGGTTTTGCGCAGGCCGTTAACCGGGACCTGGAACTAAAGCGGGAAACACTAAGTTGCCTCGACAAGGACGACGCTGCTGAGAGGTTTGATGGTACTGTTACTGGCAGTGTCGTTGGGGATAGTGAGAGGAGACGAATTGGCTTCATCCACCCTGATTTGAAAAGTTCGTAGGGGTACAATAAAAGTGAAGCAAGAGGGCGTGAGTCACAGCACAAGCACAAGACTTGTAGTGGACGTCTGGGCTGTAGGTATGGGTCCTGCCTAGAGGTACCTTTAGGTTTGGGCTGTATGAGATGGAAGACTGTGGATGGTGGGGGTATCTTTTGGGTGTTTCTTTACTGTCTGCTGAGCGCTGATTCGATGACTCGAGGTGGTGGTTCAGGTCGATTACCCTAAGGAGAGGCAGTTCTGCGTTGGATTTGCAGTTTTCCAAGGAAGATATGACTGACTGATGGTAAGTTTTTTTCATCCCCGCCATAGCCACTTATTACCACCAACCTACTGAAATCGGGAAGTTTTCCCCCTCTGTTTACCTCCGCTACTGGGGTGGCAGGTGGATCAGACGACAGGATAACTCGTAGCAGTAAAGCTGTCTCACTACAGCCATAAGGAGGGTGCGTATGGTTAAGAGTATGTTGCATGGAAGAGCTTGGGCTCGTTTTGTCTGCGAACTATTCTGTACACCCTACTGGCTACCTATCTAGGTAGATAATCAAATTGAGTAGCCCCTTACCAGAGGAAGTTACCCTTGTTCATGATGTCGTGCCCATATCATATTTGATGATGAACTGACCAAATGCACAAACCAATGTACTCCGAATATTGCCATCAATGCGCTCAACAAAGCAGTTTTCAGCTAGGCTCAAGTGACTGTGTCTTTTCCCATACAATGGTTTTTTGGTTGATGTCTTGAGATGAGTGTTAGAACTACAGTGCCTTATGTATAAGATCTGGTGTTATCTGTCCAATCAGATGCCTACTAGATGAGCAGGGACACGTTCATAGACAACTTCCTTACCGATACTCGAAAGGTTGTACATTCCGTATTCACTACATCCAATCTAATTTATGAATCTCCTGCATTATTTTCAGCTACTAAGTCTATGTATTAGGATCTTTATTTAGTGATGACCTTCAGTGGGTCGATCGCCAAAAACCTGTCTTTGCCGCCTTCGTCTCAGGCGATCTGCCAATTGCTAGTGCGGCCCGTTGCCTAGCAACTGCTTTGTTTAGGTAGGATGACCCCAGCTTAAGCGACCTACCTTATAGAACTGCAACCGTTCAAAAAGGCTCCATCCATCGTCCTTCTTCAATTCTTTGTCCGTCTTTCACTAACATCAACAGCCCATCTCACACATCCTCTTAATTATGGCTACCCGTACCATTGAGGCGCGCTTTGAGCGCATGTCCGTCAACGACGAAAACGATCCCATTGGCGACGGCTCCAAGCTCTACAGCAAGAGCAAGGTGAGTTTACCGTCACATTGCGGTGTCGTATTGTTTGCTGATAGATGTAGACTATCTCTTCGACATCAACTCATGGTGCAACCCGTCCCAACCTCTTCAAGGTCGCCCTTCAGTCACAAAGCAGTAATGCCAACGCCGCCGTAATGCTGCCATCCCAGGCTGCTCAACGAAAAGTCAACCCTGCTCCCCCCCCCTCTCCCACAAGAAAAGCCCTTCCATCGTCTTCAAGAACATCAGATGAGGCTTCCGAGGATCGAAAATCAGTCACTCTACCAGAACAAATGAGCGTCCCCAAGCAGTTCCACCTAGGCATGTTCGAAATCGGCCGCCCTCTGGGTAAAGGCAAGTTTGGACGAGTCTACCTTGCTCGAGAGAGAACAACAGGCTTCATCTGTGCCCTCAAGGTCCTCCACAAGAACGAACTGCAGGCCGGGCGGGTCGAGAAGCAGGTTCGTCGAGAGATCGAAATTCAGAGTAATCTGAGACATCCCAACATCCTTCAACTCTATGGCCATTTCCACGATAGCAAGCGAGTATTTTTGATTCTGGAATTCGCTGGCAAGGGTGAGCTGTACAAGCATCTTCGAAAAGAGAGCCGATTTCCTGAGTGGAAGGCTGCCCAGTACATTGCCCAAATGGCCTCAGCTTTACGATACCTGCACCGAAAGCATGTTATTCACCGAGACATCAAGCCCGAGAACATCTTGGTTGGCATCCACGGTGAAATCAAGATCTCGGATTTCGGATGGAGCGTGCATGCCCCCAACAACCGAAGGAAGACCATGTGCGGAACTCTTGACTACCTCCCCCCTGAGATGATCAAGCCCGGCACCTCTGATAACTTCTACAACGAAAAGGTTGACCTATGGAGTTTGGGTGTCCTGACGTATGAGTTCCTCGTGGGTGAGGCGCCTTTCGAGGATACGCCAGTAATGACCCAACGAAGGATCGCTCGTGCTGATATGTCTATCCCTACATGGGTCAGCCCTGAAGCTACGGATCTCATTAAGAAGGTACGTCTTTCCATTATACCATATACCTGTACGATCGTGCTAACAAACCGAAGCTGCTTGTGCTGGACCCTGAGAAGCGAATTCCTCTTGAGCAGATCCAACAACACCCTTGGATCATCAAACACTGCGTAAAGGGCGAGCGCGCCTCTAACCGCGAAAAGGGCCAATAACGATTTAATGAAAACCCCAACAATATGGACGAACGGATAGGGATTGGATGGCGTTTACTGGCGATTGATTAATTTGTAATATTGAAAAGCGGAACCTGACCGTTTGCATCAGTTGGCGTATAGGGTCTCCTTTTATGGCATCATCTCAGAATTGTTACGAATCGAAGAATTGCATCAGCATCTTAAAGGGGTATCATTGATAGTATTGGCGTATCCGATGGAGAGGTCATTATGTTCCATTGAGAGCGCCTCTAGCCTTGCTCGTATATCGTACACAGTTCCCAGGTAGAATACTACCACGTTACCTATAAACCTCGTCGAATGGTCTGGTATCTGCGAAGCATGAATCCCATACTGAATTGACGGCTTTTGTTGCCTCAAGGTCGTCCTTGCACGCAGTTCTGCCGACGATGGAATCGATGGCTCGCCTGCGGACGCAATTTTGGAATTGCTGTGTCAATTTCCAGTTGCCTCTGGTGAAGGCTTCCTTAGTCCATCTACATTCACCACTGAGCATTGAAGCTCGGATCTTTCGAGGCCAGTCAGTCAGTGTTCGGGCTTCTTTTGTTGGACATGCATCAACACAACTCACCTCTGTACATGCGGCGTGCTTGAGGTCTCCTGGTTTACCCACAAAGTCCACATTCTTCCATCGAAGCATATCCCAAGCATGTACCATCTCATGCGCTAGCGTATCCTCGAGATGTTTTCGGCTCTGGATTTCGTTGGCGCATATCAGGATTCCATGCTCAGGGCTGAAGCCGCCCGATTGTCGCAAAACGGTGCCATCAGCATTGAGATATGAGGGGCAGCGGCGGCAGTAAACGTTGGAAGAGTCTATTCGTCCATTGAGGTCGCGAATCTTTTCTGACATGAAGCGCACAGTGGGGGAGTATGTGAAGAGCCAATCGCGAAACTCTTCGCAGCGTTTGATGTCCTTCTCTTCCTCAACAGTGTGCACCCATTCTCGGTAGTGGAATTTGCCCTCAGGTGTCATTTGACCCGATATCATCTTGAAATAGTTCATCCATTTTGAAACTTCTGGTGAGAAACCTGTTACTGCAGGGTCATTCTGAACTCCTCTTGATGGTTGATTCGGTGCGGCTGCTGTGGCGCTGGGAGCATTTGTTTGATCAGATGACATGGCGGAAGGGCTGTGAACGATGACTCTTCGGCGAGAGTATTGGTACGGTAGCGGGATTCGGGATGTGAATTATCGACGACGGGATCTCTTTTGACCTTCTTGCCAGGGTCTTAGTCTCAGACCAGCTTGAACACAAATTCTGCCAGGGTCCGTTCTAGTCAAAGGCGGTGAAAGTGACTTCCGTACTGTACCTTCAGAAGAACGGAAAACGGGCCGGGCAGTGACTCGGAAAAGTTGACCAATCAACAACTTTTGCCAACCTATTTTGCGACTTCGGAGTCTGGGGGATACGGGGAGGGATTCTACAAGGGCGTAAAGGGCACAGATCCAATCACCTTGACCACCGAGCAACGTTTACCCAGGATCAACCTGCGCCCAGCTCTATACATCCCATCCTCGGTTCCACACTCAGAAAGCGACAAGGGCGTATGAAAATGACGAGTGAAGGCATCTTTCAGTGTAAGCATTTTCCTGATTTTTCTGTTCTTTGCTTCATTCATTTTCTTTGAATTGCGCCGTGTAAAGAGAGCCTACCTAGCCTGTCTTGCTGAATCTGTCCATATATGATATATATGTCGCTCTACGTCTATCTGTAGAGCACACATTGTCATGTGAAAGCGCCAGTCTCTACCACAGGCATTTGTTTCATACTGTTAAAGCGGCATTTAACTGACTTGTTTGTCTTTTCTTAAAATCTCGCAGTCATGAGAGGGAACGGGACAAAGTCCTTGACCATCGTTATCAAGCTTGGTGAGCATCACCCTCAACCTCAACACCAACACCAAGCTTGACTCATTCCCCACTAACATCCCGTCTTCTTTTCAGGAACGAGCTCAATTGTCGATGAAAAGACTCATGAGCCACTTCTTCCAATTCTTACTCTCATCGTTGACACGGCTGTGAAGCTCCGCAAGGATGGCCACCGAGTGGTTATTGTTTCATCGGGAGCTATCGGCGTTGGACTCCGGCGTATGGATGTAGAAAAGCGACCTAAGCATCTCGCACAGCTACAGGTTCGACCTGGTCTCTTTTTCAAACAATCAATTAAACGATTCAACTAACAACAACTCTCAGGCACTCGCCGCGATAGGCCAATGTCGATTGATGAGTCTATGGGATAGTCTGTTTACACATCTCAGGCAGCCAATTGCTCAGATTCTCCTTACTCGAAACGATATTGCAGACGTATGCTGCTCTTTCTCATTTATCGTTTGCGATTATCAACTAAAACATCACAGCGGACTAGATATTTCAATGCTCAGAACACCTTCCATGCACTCCTGGAGCAGGGTGTCATTCCCATTGTCAACGAGAATGACACTCTCGCTGTTTCCGAGATCAAGTTTGGCGACAACGATACTCTCTCTGCCATCACTGCCGCCATGATTCATGCCGACATGCTGTTCCTGATGACAGATGTTGACTGCCTGTACGACAAGAACCCTCGAAGTAACCCAGATGCCAAACCTATTGAAGTGGTTGAGGATATTGCTGCTCTCCAAGCTGATGGTAAGGACCATGTCTCTATCACGTATATTTTCATCCTACTGACTACCTGAAGTTTCGAGTGCTGGCTCATCGCTTGGAACTGGAGGCATGAGTACGAAGATTGTTGCTGCCAGACTGGGAGTTTCTGCAGGTGTTACCACCGTGATTACGAGGTCGTCTAACCCTGGAAACGTGCTCAACATCGTCCAGTACCTCCAATCAATACAACGAGGGACCACCCCTCCCAGTCCCGATGAGCGCGCTGAAGGCTTGACTAGGTCAGCGTCAGCTCTGTCACTCTCAGCCTCCAATGGCAATGGTGCCCCCTGGCCACCACTACATACCCGATTCGTCCCTGCCAACAACCCCATCCGGGACCGTCATTTCTGGCTGCTTCACACCCCCTATCCGCATGGCACCCTCTACATTGACTCAGGAGCCTATAAGGCACTTGTTGGCAAGGCTGGCCTGCTCCCTGTCGGTGTCGTTGATGTTGAGGGTAACTTTGCTCAGCAGGAAGTGGTGCGGCTCGTGACAGTCAAGCGACGATCCACTCCTGGACCAGATGGTAAGATGTGGGAGGGTACCCCTGAGGAAGTCGGCCGAGCTTTGGTCAACTATGCCGCTGCTGAGATCGCGCGGATCAAGGGAAAGCAGAGCGTGGAGATTGAGAAGATTCTTGGTTATGCTGATAGTGAGTACGTCGCTCACCGACAGCATGTTGGTTTCTTTGGAAAAGGCAGTAGACCGGTGAGTCCTGCTCAGGAGATCATTTCGGCCGTGATGGAGTAGAAGCACAGAGACGGACCAGGTAAATGGACAAAATGGGGCAAGCGAATACATTTCAACATATACAGCGCTTTGATGAAGACGATGATTATATCTACCAATCCACCAAATAATCCAAGCATGATTTGACTTGATCGCAAGTTTCTTTTTCCCTTCACTCTCAACGCCAAAGAATGATAAAAATAAACCCCAACGCCAGACGAAGTAAAACCACTTTCCACTCTAACCGGTCGCAAACAGGTTGTCTTCGTCACGGAGGTACTCTCCACAATCAGCCTGCCTGAAGCAGGTGATACCAGTAGGGTCCAGTCTTCGCGCCTCAGCGGTGCTGCGGGCTGTAACACCGAATCCGAGCGGGGTGTCGTTCATGCTGTATACCACGACTCCCTGGTGCTCAGGGCAGTCCTCGGACCAGCGGCCAACATGGGCCTTGACAACGTTGCTGCCGTAGAGGAATGGCATGGTACCGTTCTCCTTGACCCAGATCTTGTAGCGGGCGTGCTCGGCGATGATGGGGAGGGCTGTGACGTGCAGACGGAACTTGCCCGACTTGGTGAACTTGCCTACAGAAATTTGGTGATTAGATAAGATCCTTGGGAAGTCACATTTGGAGGCTATAGCATACCAAGACAGGTTCCCAGAGACAGAAGCTTCTCGCGCGCTATGGAAGTAGCTAGGTTGGCGATGGAAAGACGGACGTAAAAGACACGATCGCGAACGAGGCGGAAGACATAGCGATCAGCGTTGGGAGAGTCGTCGAGAGGCGCAATGAGGTTCTTGAGAGAGCCGCCAGTGTAGTTGGCGAGCTTCTCGAAGAGAGTCTGAGTCTCCTTTTCTGTGAGGGGGCGCATTGTGTCGGTTGTGGTTTGGAGTGGTGATTGGAAATGCTCGGGGTGGATGGGATGTTTGGATGTGTTTGACTAGTTGCGCAAAGGAAAAAAAGTTGATGGAGCGGGAACTGATAAGGAGCTTATCAGTTGGTTGGGTGGGGATGAAAATGAACATGAACGGACATGAAAGGGTCCACCTCCACTTTCACTTTCACTTCCTCCACCTTTAAGTAATGTCACGTATAAGTGAGATACCCATTTATATCAATGCCTCTGGAATGTTCAAGAAACCTTTATAATAAGTGCAGAAAAATGCACCGCAGGGCTGAAATGCTTGTTTGACTGCGGATGAGTCTTCTTGATAACCAACCTCGATCAGACATTGGCATGCTATTCACATTTGGCATCTCAATCATATTGTACCTTAAGTAAACTTTCGTTGTATTTGAAGATTGTATGTATGTCTGTTTCGTACTCAATTAAGTACCTAACTGAATCTAGAGTCATGTCATAGCTCTTGAAAAGCTGTAAGACTAATCGAATGGATCTGCCATGGGACGTACATGCAGGCCATTATCAATCCTATATCTATAGGAGAGATAATTCCCGAATCGATCAAAATCCAACCTGAACCTGCGTCCAAACTCCAGCAGTCTCGAAGGCGTCATATTGGCCGAACCTTGGATGAACTCGCGTTCAGCAATGACCAGGCCGAGGCCCGAGTTGTTGACCACTGCAAGAAGCAGTCTCAGTCTTCGGTTGGTCTCACGGCTGAGGCGGGCATACATGAGGCCAGTATAACCTTCGACGAATTCTATCTCCTCCTTCCAATCACTGGAGTGGGATAGCAAGTATTCGAGCACCTCTGGACCCAGACCATACAGCTCGTTCAGGTCATCTCTCGTATAGTGGCCCAAGGAAAAGAGCCTGTAGTCGTTCAGGATGTCCTCCCACATGTTTAATGGTGTCAGAGCATCCAGTACACCTGGGATATACCGGATATTATCCAGCCTGTTTTCGAGTTCGTCACTCGGATCCAACTTGTAGGCGTACCAAATCATGCGCCAAGCGAGATATTCCTGTTGGACTTGATCATACCCCGTAGAAGGATGTTCGGCTAGCGTCTGAACAACCAGTATTACTAACGGGAATGACCCAGAGACTGTAAGCTCAAAGTAAGAGGCACAATCCCGCTTGATGTGTCGTATCGAGCATTCTGTTATTTTTCTTCTGTTACATCTCCCAACCCACCCGCACCAATTGGATCTTGGTACGGACGGAATCCTGGGAACCGAACCTTCAGCCGCTGCTGGCGAGAAATTGATATATGACGGAGGCATGGTGTGTGAGTGCCTAGTAGGTAGATAGATACCTACGTAGTAGAAGGAGTGAACAATGTTAGGTCAGGCCAGGTCAGGTCATATTATGATATTTATAGCTGGAAATCTTGGGGAAATCCCAGTATATGAGCTTGTAGAGTTTATACGAAGCACAACTTAAACTATTGTGTTTATGACTGCTTGCTGGACGCGACAGTTGCATCCTCCAAAGTGTAATCTTGTTTCGACAGCCTGGCCTGAAGTATAAAGTCTTCTGCTCTAGTCAGCCTCCCGAGTCCTTTCGATAAGCTTTTGTGACTACTGATCTTAGGATTAGTTGATACGAGCCAGAATTGGTGTTTCAGATCAGATAATCATACTCACTGTAGCTGTCTGGACAGCATTTGTGTTCGTGGAGGGTCTAAACCATGCAGATATTAACAACGTCCTCAACGCTGTCTGAAGACTGTTGTTTACTCGATGACCTTGATTTACTTCTGACTGAAACTCATACATGTATATAACAATCCAGGGCCAAGGTGTATATGGCTTGGTGTCCTGAAGACGGTAATCTTTGAAATAGATGTTTAGCTCATAGCATCTTGATCCTACAACTTATCTCTAGTTTCAGCGTGGAACTGGAGGTCTGCCAGTTTACCTACCTACATATGGAGGTTGGAAGTTGGGTAGTGTGCCTACTAATACAACGATGCTGAGTTGATAGTTCCATGTAATTAACATGATTGGTCTATCATGGAATTCGGAGGGACCAATCTCTGATTGATAAGTGACCCTTAGGTTACCTAGTAGTAGGTACGGGATAGTGGGGTCCATTACATGTGCAGGTCGTAGCAGAAGCTCCCCACTACCCCACCACTTCATTATACATGTCGGGTACCTACTATTTACCACAACTCAAGCTCTCCAACTTGCATCTTCAACATCCCCCAAAGAACGAAGCTCTCCACCACCTTCAAGATGCATCAAAACCACATCACAGACCCTAACGAGCCGTTCCCAAAACCCCAGGCGCTTGCCTCGGCTACGACCACACATAATCAAGGCCGATTTCGCATTTCGACACGCAAGCTGCCCATCTCCAAGGCCGGCACCATCGATGCCCTCACCGAACAGATTGGCATTCCAATGCCCGAAATGATCTTTGGCGAGAACATCGTCGGAATTGAGCATCTACCTTCAGGCTGGTCCCTGAACTTTAATACCCCGGACGCTCTCGACGCCGTTGACAAGACAGATCGCCACATGCTCAAGGTCGCATACGCTCGAGACTGGGAGAGTACTAGAGAAGGCACAACACAGGGTATTAAGGAGGTTGTGAAGCCCTACGACTGGAGTTACTCAACGACGTATACTGGAAGTGTCGACCCTTCTGCCAAACAATTTGCGCCCACGGAGAACATGATTCCAATCGAGCTCTTGAAGCGTCGTGACCCAATCCTATTCTTCGACGAGGTTATGCTGTACGAGAGCGAGTTGGACGACAATGGGATAAGCATCTTCAGCGTTAAGGTTCGCGTCCACGAGAAGCGCATGCTATTGCTGTGCCGGCTATTTATGCGGCTCGATAATGTTATTCTGCGGATACGTGACACTCGGGTCTACGTTGACTTTGAGACTGATGAAGTCATTCGTGAATATTCGGCACAAGAGGAGACTTACGAGAACGTGAAGAGGGTGAGTCACCTTGGGATCGGCCCAATCTGCTTTTATGAAAGTCCCATTGCTGACTGATTCTTAGAAACTGCAGATGTCTGGTAGACTGCCCGACGATATCACTATCGCACTTCGGGACCCAAACATCCTGGCCCCATTGTTGCCATTGGTCGAGCATCGAGCGGAGGCCGTGAAGCCTGGTGCATGAGAGCACAATTGGTACGCAACAAAATGATAGGCTTGAGTGAGATGTGGAGTTACAGGAGTTCAGGACAAATTTTCATTGTACAGATTCTACAATACAGAGAGCGGGGGTAAACTCGCCAATGCAAGGGACTCTGTTGTGTGATATCAAAAAAGCTAGGTATCAAAGAGTTCATGCTGTACCTCGCCCCAGTCCGAATCTTACGTTGCCTCAAACCCATGCCCGATCAAGTGCAGTACAATACAAGTCCGAAATAGACATCATTCAGACTTTCATAAAATGCCTTAGTCCCTTGTGTGTAACTCCAGAAGCCTTGCTTGATTACAATCATCCCTAGCCCGCCCAACGCCTGCTTGACCCCGACCCGTTTTCGTCGACCTTGCTTGGTATTCCCATTCTTGTGCTTCAGTTTGCTTTCATCGCGCGAGTGGAGAAGAGCTCTGCGTAACCTCTTCAAAGTCGAGTTCCCACCTATCGACTTCTTTAAACTTCTTGGCTGCCTGTCGGAGCTCGTCTGCAGACGGTGTGCTTGAATTCTCAGCGCTCCCGTCCCCAAAAGTGTCATCAGGTAATGGCTGGAAGCGGCTATTCTCGTGCTGATCCTCGTCATCGCTGCCTCCTTCCTTCTCATTCTCTTTGTCCGATGAGCGGCGTGAGTAGGTTTGTGCATTGCGCGCTGCTTGCTTGCCAGAACCAGTTTGTTTGGGCTTCAGAGCCTGCGTTGTGCGCCCGCCTCTTGAACCTGGACGTTTTGCGCCTCCGCGACTAGTCGATCGCCCCCCACGTCTTCGACGTGAATCTCGTCCGTCAATATATGAAAGCTCGTCCTCATCCTCGCCAATTCCAGATGTATCGTGCTCTTCGTCACTCTCCGGTCCCGAAGCTCGCTGTTTCTTATAGTGGCGTTTTGGAAGCAGGCTTGTTAAATCCGCAGTTGTGACTTTAGGCGGAGGCTGTTGACGCCGGGTTGTGGCTCGCCCTCGAGACTTTTGCGCCTCAGCAAAATTAGGAGAGTGTGTGAGGGATGGAGGTGAAGAAACGTCGGAGAAGTTATCGGTGCGAACTGGAGTTATGACTGAGGGTCTTCGCCGTCTCTTGGCCAAGGTATGGATATCAGGCCAATTCGCGTCTTCGGAATCACTACTGGCCGGTAGGGCCATGAGCTCATCGTTGTTGATTGGTGTAACAGGTCGTTCAGGAAGGACGGGCGAAGGGCCGAGAGGAGATCCAAGATCCGATAGCGAGGAGTCGCTATCGCCATCCGACTCGATAATCTCGGGCGCAGGGCCCGCTTCATCAGATGCCTGATCCTCCTCTCTTTCAATCCGCGAAATCTTCTCTGGCCGTTCGCTGCTTGGAAGCGCATCCTCGCTCTTTCTTTTCCTATGTTTTGATCCTGTGGTGACATCTGGAGAGACTGGAACTTCTATTTCCAACTCGGCCTCAGGTTGTGTCCTTCGTCGATTGTTAACAGGCGTAGATTCCGCTTCAGGCGCGAAATCGTCCTCGCTCTCCGACTCTGGCTCCTGCCCCGCGGCAGTTTCTTCTGGTCGCGGCTTTCGAGCGGTTCCTAGGATACTTGGTTCTCGAGCTCGTCGCTTGAAAGCACCAAAGTGAAGTGTAGAGCTGATACTAGGTGTGTTGCCGCCGCGGCTGCTGGGTCTGATAGGAGGATCATTTCGCCCAATGATACTGGACTGGCGCGATCGGCGTCCCAAAGTGCTCATGTTGAGAGATGAATTGTCGTTTGAACGAAGTCCTATGTGCGTGCTATCATCGCCGAGTCCAAAGCTTTCGTCAAGATCAAGAAAAACGCTATCCGCCAAGTCAAGCCCGCTTGTATCCCTCCGATGTGTTGGCGTAGCTGCCGTTCGTCGCCCACCTTCAACTGAGCTACCAGAGCCGGCATCTTCGGCAGTACGACTGGTTGTGGAAGTAGGCTCCTCTCTGCCTAGCTTGTCAAGCGCCGCGTCGCGTCGTCGGTTCGCAGCAAGAACGTCTTGTTCGTTGGCAGTGCTGACGCGAGCACCTGAAGATCGTGTTGTTCGTCTGCGACCTCTCTCGGGGGACTTGGCTTGCTGTGGAAGTTGATTATCGTTGGCATCTTGCGTATCGGGTGAGGGCGATCGTGCATGAGTCTTCGCAGATTGTGCGGGCGCACCACGCGCTCGTCTGGTTCGAGGCATTGCGATTGACTATTCAGGCTTTCGGCTTCGCGGAAGGGTGATTATGAAGAGGAAACTGCCAGGTCACCTTTTGCGACTTTGGAAAAGGTCGTTTCAAGGGAGGCTCGAGGAGGTTGGTGTTGGCTGTAAGTGACCAGACGTGGGATAACCTATGATGATGATATTGTGCGGAAGAGAAACACGCCAGAGACGCGACGCGACAATTAGGTACGTACCTCACAGTAGTGGGATGACCCCACCAGAAATATTGAGCTTTGACCCGTAGGTAGAGCTTCCATCCATTCATTAATAAAACTAAGGATCAGCACGAATAATTAGGGATGTTCACTTAACCGTTTTCTGGATATCTTATGAGTATATAAATTCATTCAAAAATGATCTGGAGTCCAAAAGATTGTACATTTTCTCTATGGAAATATTCATAAAAGTCTTGACACGGCTATGGAAATAAACTTTTTCTAGTCTCATGCCTCTGTTATTGTACATACTCATCCAGTGAATTCTTCCTATCGTACATGGCGCGTAAATTGGAGTGCGGAGGTTAAATCAGAGCTTGTCCCTTGAACATACTGTTCTTGACCTCTGCAACAACATCCTTTCTGTCATCGTTGCCAACGAGCACGATGCCACGGCCTCGTCGACCCATTCGTCCAGCACGACCCAGTCGGTGGATGAAGTCAATGGTTGTATGAGGTACGTGGTAGAGAATGACGTGACGGACTGCAAGGGTGTCGATACCTCTGGAAGCCAGATCTGTAACGACCAGGACTCTCACGTTGGGTAGAGATCGCTTCTTAGCATTGAGTGTTGGTGCTGGGATTCTGAGAGGGTCTGGTGATGTGAATGTCTCCAAAACCTCGCCATGGCGCTTCTCAGGAGTATCTCTGTGGAGCGCCTCAGCATTGATTCCCTTTTCTCTCAGGTACGACGCCAGCTCTTCAGTCTTCTCACGCTCGTTGACGAAAACCATAATACGGCGTACATCAACCTCGCCCTTGACAGGACCCTCGTGGTTGGAAGCTTCACGACCAATCGAGTAAATTGCTTCAGCACAGGCAAGGTCCTTATTGTTGCGGTAAGGTTCTCTTGAGACATCAATGACTCCCAATTGAACACGACGAGGGATAGCGTGCAAGTTGGGGGTGGTAATTCGAGTCATCTTGGGATAGTTGGTGGCCAGATAGTTGTTGAGCTTTCGGGGGATGGTGGCAGAGCAGCATACAAACTGCTTCATGGATGGCATAGCTCGCTCAATGATGCTAGTTGTCACTGGAGCAAAACTTCGATCGAACAAAGAATCGGCCTCGTCGACAACCAAATGGGTCACGCGAGAAAGAATATTGGGATCCGAGTCGGCGATGGATGCAAGGAGATGAGGTGTCGAAACAATAATGTCGACTCCCCTAGGCCCATATAAGTTGCGTTGAATCTGCTGTGGCTTAAGGTCTGAAGAAAGGAGTTCTGTCTTGAACTTGGCGACGTGAGACAACGATTTCGATGTCTTTGTGACTTGATGCGCAAGCTCTGCCGTTGGCACAAGGATAACCACCTTGGGGCGGGCCATTGTAGGGTGTGGCTCATCGAACGGCTTGCCTTTGGAGTTGCCAGCCAATTGTCGCTCCTTCTCGATCTCCCATCGCTCACGGTAGGCCTTCAGCTCAGGATCCCCGGCCTCAGCCGTTTTTAAAGCATCGACTGCTGGTAGAAGGTACGCTAATGTCTTTCCAGATCCTGTCTCGGCGGCCAGAAGGAATGACCTCATCTCGTCTGTTGGTTTTTTGAGATCATCCGGAGTCTTTTGGTTCAAAAGAGCAGGGATTGCAAGTTTTTGTACAGGTGTCGGCTTGATATCGGTCATGCCCTTGAAGAGCTCTTCGTTGACGGCGACTTGCAGAGTTGGGATAAGGTCGAAATTATCGAATGATTCGTACTCGGTCATGGAATCCTTCGTCATCATTCGCTTTCCATATGAAACAGTAGCTAGCGCACGCTGCATTTTGAGCGCCTTTCGGTCATCTCCATCTCGTGTTCCCCCTCTTCGGTTATCCCTCTCTCTTGTATTGGTTCCTTTTGAATCCTTTCCTGTTAGCGGGCGTTGTCGACCAGCTCTTCGAGAAGGGTCAACATTGGCGACTCTTCTATTCATTCCGCCAAATGGACCTGGGGCCTCGCGGCGTCTTTGTCGGTCATCGCGAGATGGAGGGGCTTGGTTGACTCGATCCGATAGAACCATGCGTGAGGGGCGAGGCTTGAAGTGTTGTGAGGCCAAGCGCTGGCCTAGACATGATTGTAATGATGTTTTAACAGTAATCGTTGGCCGAGATGTGAACATGCAGAACGAGCATATCGAGTTCGTTGCGACACGCTGCATGACGGCGAGATATCGTTACGAATGGTAAGTATGGAGTAATTGGGTTGTCGCAACAAATCTTCTTGCTGGGTTTTTTCTGGTCAAATCGGCAGTCGGAGTTTTTGCACCGATCATGACAGGTACGTACCGTTGTCCCACCTTTGACGTTGGCTGATCTACCCCTAGGCTCTAGGTGAGGTAGGCATGTGAAAGTGAGGACTGAAATAGGTACTGTATGCGCAACTGTCAAGTAGATACGAGGTAAATAGGAAATATTATCAATTCATACAATGGGTTAAGTATTCGTGTCGACAAAATAGATGTGCTTCCTAGTCGCTCCTAGGCCTTGTAGGTTCCTCCTCTGCCATACCCTGGTTGATGCAGTTGCCCTTAATCCCTGTACTTCCGATGCCCTATTCCTTTATTATAATCTACCCGAAGCCAACTTGGAACCAGAACACTCCATCCACATTACCTGGCTATTCTTCCTAGTGATCAGCAGCCTGCCACCAGCCTATCCCGATAGCGACTACGAGTGCCCCCGTCGTGATAATCCTGTGCATTGCCGTTAGCGGTGTCCACGATCAGTCTCTTTGTCACTTACATGGGCACTACGCTCCCGCGAGGGGGTTGGGACGATTCTCCTGATGCCGCTTTCTTTTTTACCGTTTTCTCGCTCTTGGAATCCGATGTTGACTGGGTGTCTTGCAGTAGTTGGGCAGGCCCTGATTCAGAGGCAATGGACACTTTATGATCCACGGATTTGGGAACGGCTGGGATATTATCGGTTCGCCCATCGACCGCTTCGGGTTGCGTATCGTTCGAGATCTGTTCGGTTGTAATGGCGCTGGGTGCTTTTTCGTGCTGGGTATTCTGGGCCACAGGACTTTCAGATTGAGATGGTGACTCGCCATTGGTCTTTGCGACGGGCTTTACCTCAGAGGTCTTCATGACAACAGCTTCGTCCTCCTCGCTAGGGGGCGACTTTTGCCCAAAAACTTTGTCTCTCGAGTTGGGATTCGGTAGAGACACAATAGGAGGGCCCTGCGGTTGTCTATTGGTAGGAGGTTTAGGCTCCTCTTCTATCGATCCTAGAGATACTGCCGAGCGCGTTCTACCGAAGCTGTGAGAAGGCCTGCTATCACGTCTTCTGGTAATGGTAGGACTAAAAGACGCAGGGGACAAGCACAAGTCATCGCTAGAATCCAGGCTGGTTCTTCGAGACGAGATTACACGAGGTGACGAGGGGATGTCCTCGAGGTGAGTCTGATCTTCTCCGAGATGGGTTTGGATGGAGCGGATGGCACCGAAAATCGACCCTCGGTCGGAGGGAAAGCTTTCGAGGGTCGGATCGTTAACGTCGACTTCGGCCGCCTTGTCGCGCATCGTTTTGACTTTCGAAGTCCGTCCTGGGCTATTGTTTGTGACTGTAGTATTGTCGGGTTCTGCGCCTTCTCCGAAATCATAAGCACCCAAGCACTCATGAGCAAACAACGGCATTTTCATTTCTTCAGATTCATCTTTAGAATCGTCGGCAAGCGATTCATGGGCAAAGAGGGGCGTCTTAAAATCCTCTGGGCCGTCGTCCTTGGCATCGTTACCCATAGATTCGTGCGCGAATAAGGGTATCTTGTTTTCTTCTGTATCGTCTTCGAAGTCTTCATCAGCATCGGCACCTGGCGATTCGTGTGCAAATAGAGGCGCTTTAGTGTCTTCACTGGTCTCATCGGTACTGTTCGCTTCCAAAGGTGCTCCACTTGTCTGTGTAGCTGGGTTCAGCTTGATCGCCGGTGTATCAATGCCTGCCGGAGAAATGTGTTCTTCTGCCGGTGTCTCTACGCGTACGACATTGTTCTCATTGCCGGAGTCATCGGTTGCTGTGATATCTTATTAGGAAAAGTTGGAGACACTAACTCTCTTGGACGTACCTGTGGGATAGTTCTCAGCCAGAACCCACCAATTATCATGGCCTATACGAAGCTTGAATTGGTAGTCCTGTTGGGGTTCGAGCATAACTTCAGACTGGAATGTGTGCTCGCCATCTTGGTCAGTTGTATATCCCATCTCTTGGAGTTGCCATTGCGGATCGGAGAAGGAGCCTGCAAGGAAAACTGGAGGTGCAGTTCCAGGCTTCTTGTAGGTGATGGCGAATGGTGTCTTGGGCGACATTGCAAGGTTTGATGCGCTGTTATTATAAGTAACCCGCAACTTGACGCAAATACGGCTGAGGAGCTCACCTGAGTTAGCCGTCAAAGATTGTGCAGAGACGAGGCGCGATTAGAGTGAGGAAATGATAGGTTTTGATTAGTAAAAAGTGTTGGAATTGATGCTGTGGTAGTAGTTCGACCGCGTGAGAATCGAACGATGAGCAGGGGTAGCTATACCACTACTGAGGAGCTGCGATGGTCCAAGGATCACTATAAAAGCATCACAGCGCATTGACGATGTATCGTAGGAGGCGACAAACGAAGGTAAGGTGAGAAATTGAGATAGAAAGATGCGAAATGAGGAGACGCAAGATGAGGTGTAGGATGACGAAAGATGAAGATTGTATCGAAGGTTAAATGTGAGGAGGAGAATAGGTACAGTATGAGGGAGGAGGCGGCGGGATGACGACAGGTCAATGCAACACCAGCCTTGGGGTCAAGGTCAATGACAATCAAGACCGAGGTTTATGGACGCACGAATAGGATGACTTTTGGAAGAAGAGAAGATTGATTGATCCGGTTCGGGTTGACTTGACTTGGCACGAGAAAATAAGGGAAGAGAAGACAGACAGTTCCTACCTGAAGCTTGCCGTTGGGGTCAAACACGTGAGACTGAGTCGATTGACTTTTACAGGTTACTTTTAGTACGACCGAGGATACCAAGACCTGGCCAAGGACGGACGTCATGAAGGGAGGGGACGAGGAGGAGGAGAAACTTTGCGTTGAGATTAAAGTAGAAAGAGACCCGAATTTTGATACGATCAACTTTCAACGGTTTTACAGATGCAATGTCGTCATTTGACTTGATATAAATATTTATGTATTCCTGATGTCGCAACCCATGCCTCCCTCATCTCATATTGGTGTTGAAAGACCTGATGCAGTTCAGTCTGGGGTTAATCACGATCTGCAGAAATGGGCCCAGCACAGTACCAATTAGCTTTGGTGCCTTGTTTGGTAGCTGCAGATCAGCAGCAGCGGGCAGTTGATAGCTGCTACCTTAAGGACCTACAGGACAAGGACAGTACCTCAATTGTACTGTGCAGTGACACTTAAGCAGCGTCATCAATTCTATGGTTATTGTTGGGAACACTTATCAGATCATTCCTTACCTCCAAGTTCATGCACGTCAACAAGGAAAATATCAGCAATTACCCGTAGGCGGACTCTTCCTCTCCATTGTGAAACCATCTCTCTCCTCATGATATGGGTCTCTAGAAAAAGGTGAACCGTGCGCCCCCGCATTCCAACCGTTTCCATGATGGTGCATATTCAAAAATAACGCCAACTCATGGTCAGTCGTCGGGCCGGCGAGAACATACTGTAGATAAGAAATGAAATAACTTGGTCACTCTATGCGAGCTTGGAGTAGCAACTAGGTAGGCTGCTTCATTTCTTAACACCCTCAGCTTTGGAGGACAATTACTTTCTTACTCAGTAGACAATCCATCTTCTCTTCCTCTCACATCAAAAGCCGCATATGAAACCCAATGCATCTCAACAGATCTACCATTCCATAAAGTTTATGGCTCACGACGTCTAACTTATATCTGTCCTGTCGGCCTATTCTCGAGTTCACTCACTATTAAAGTCCAGTACAGCCTCTATCCATAGGCGCTAAGAACATAATGGCCCCACTCTCCCGGAGGCTCTGCCTCTTGGACATGGCCCCACCGGGAAGTGGATGAAATCTTTCATGAACACCCCTAACAAAAAAATTACTAGCCTAGGTAGCCAACTTCTGACCTCATCGTTCGCAGCGCATATATTCGCAAACAGCCTAATCCATAACATACAGAAGCAACGCATCCGGCTCTTGAGCTCTGAACCGAACCCCGCTCCAGGAATACTTTCCTCTCAATTCTTCCATTCTCGCAAATAATCATCATCCTCGACTACGACTTTGCTTTGCTGCACAGCATCACCCATAACGATAGAAACAATGTCTATTCCACCTCAACTCATCCGCGTGAAGCGCAAGCGCGACGACGAGTCTCCCGTGACTTTCCTCCGTATGCTCTCTAATCGGCCTTTATCATTCCATCTTCTAACGCCTTTCAGAGTTCGATGAGGGTGCGAAACGCCATAGAAACGACAGCAATTGGGTCTATCAGAGACGACACCCCGGACCTCAGTCTCCAACAACAGAAGTTCCCAGTCCATCTTACCGTGATGCGAAACCAGTTATTCATGTCTGCGGTCCTGGAAATGATGCGCCCGAAGCAAAGAAAAATGACACTCCCGCCGTGGGTGTCGCACCAACCTCAACCTCAGACCCAAAAGCAGTAGACCCGGCCAACATCCCCGAACACAGACGTTTCCATATCTCAAGAAAGATGATGATGGCTTCAGGTGCGGTGCAAACCCCTGGTACTGGCGTCAACAAGCGACCGCGCTACGGGCCTGCTGTCTTCGTTGAACGAAGTCGTGCCAAGGCCAGTCAACGAGCATCGAAAGTCCGAGAGTCTATCAAAGAATCAGTATCACTGCCTGCTGGTCAGCAGATCCCAGGCATAACTATGTCCGCAGGCAATACATCTGAGACCAAGCCCTCGGACGAACAACCGCAACAAGAGCGACGCTTGAAGAAACCAGCAGCGAGGAGCAGGCAGCCTTCTCCCTTACCAGATGCCAACTCTCGAACTCCTCTACCAACCTCAATTTTGAATCCTCATAACCAGGATATGTCCAGGATGGCGGCTGACATGAACGACTGGGTTATGAAAGAGATCGGCGCCAACCTCCAGGAGATGGAACAGGAAAAGCAAAGGACAACCAGATTTAAGCCCAAGGCTCCAGCCAAGAGATACCAAGAGCGTCACCCAGAAGCGGCCACTAGCAATACAGAATCCAACGACGTGGACATGACCACGGGCGATACGAGCGACATGGAGGATGACGACGACTGGGTCATCGAGGAGTACGTTCGTATCCCTGCGCATGCCATGACAGTCAACGTGGCACCAACGGATGTCGGTGTGCTGGTACTCGATGGCAAGGAAGAGAGTAATTTATTCTTCGGACCTGACCGAGACGAAGATGAAGAACTCGATGAGGACGAGGAGGATGAAAATGGTGAGTCACTCTATTCCTAGCCTACACCACCCAGTGTGAAGATTCTACTCAAGACAAAAGGCTGATACCAACCCCTCCCTAGCTGAAAACTATTACACGGCAGATTACCCAGAGGATGAGGTGGAGTCAGATGATGAATATGGGCGCCATCCGTATGGTTATCGCAACGGCAATGCCTCCGATGATGAGGAGTTTGACAACATATACTACGACGAGAGCGACAATGACATGGTCCTTGACGGAGACAACGACGACGATACCACCATGGCTCGTATAAGGACCTATATGAAACGAAGCCGTGCTTTTCAGTAGAGCAGACTAGTCTAAAGATTTTGGGGCGTCGGACTTTCAGCCCGCAGAGCAGCAAATCGACATGGCACTACACCCTCACATGTAGATCTAGCACCAACAGACAGTGCTCAATCGCCAGAAACTCTTCTTTATTCCTTTATTCTTCGGACCCTTGGTTGTGTAAGCCACAACGGCGTGCCCCTGAGGGCATGACACCATCGTCATTCGTCACGCTAGCCGAACGTGCATATCAATCAACCACCAACAATACAAGCAACACTCCAAATCCGGAATGGCCGTCCATCCTTCATCGAATGAATAGACCCGGTAGCATCTAGCACACAGTGAAGGGATTTTGGTTGTTTGCTCTTTGGGAATGCGGGTGTGGAGGTGTACACAGCAATTACGTTCTCGAGACAATGGCTGGTTTGTGCTCCCAGCGTTCTATTTCCCGATGTGTAAAGAGGCAGATCGGTGAAGGGGATCACATATTCCCATCTTCCCGGGGAAGGATTCCTACATTTCCTCAACGCCTAGCTACATTATCCTCCATGCACGTGCCCAAAGCATCCTGACTTTTCAGCCCTGCACTAACGGGTTGTCCCGTTTCCCCTTCATCTTCATGTTTGTCCTCGCCTTATAACACAGACGCGAATGCCGAATACTAAATTGACTCGAGTGCTTGGCAATTGCTTGTCTCCATGGAATCATAGAAACAGTGGCCACGGTATGCCAAGCTGCGATGCCTTGACATCATCTACACTGTACTGACTTTCCTTGTTTACAGACGCCAATGAGGACGCCAGACACTTTGAGTAGAACCCTCTTGCCAAGACGTAGAAAATATAATGTATCTTTGATGATATTAACAAATAGGAATTTTACATACCCACTGTTCCCAGGCAACGCCCCCTTCTGTCCCAATCCGTTTCTCTCATTATTTTGGGTAATTCATCGTGAACCATCTAGTAGTACAAGGTACAGTAACAATAGCAGTACCTTAGCCCGATCATCTTCTGGCACCCTTTCAACCAATACCTATCCTACCTTGATACTATTTCGCCCTGTTGCCACCTCTTTCTAGTGTATTGAGGTTGCGTTTTGAGGCCGCTGATAGTCATCTAAAATGTTCTGATGAAAGAGAATGTGCAATGAAATATAAGCGTATGACAAAAGAAAGCTAGTTACATGTTCGAGGGTATGATAGACATGTGATACGTGATATTCGTGTCGTCGGAAATTCGGTCGTTTGCAGGCGTGGTATAGAAGCCCGTGTAAAAAGGCAGAACGATTCGCTTCATAAACAATGTGGTCAATGCCACTTTATCCGTGTTTTCGCCGTTGGATCATGCAAAATGCGATTTTGTGGCTACTTCTTGAGCTTGATAGCAGGATCATTTTGCTCATCATAGCTTGAGGCGACGCTGCTCCTTTCTTCGACGTCGCTCTCGCCTCTCGCGATATTGCATAGCCCTCTTTGCAGCTATGATTTGTATTAGCTTCATGGTCTACTGTGACAAGCAAGCAAATGATACGCACCCCAGTCGCTGGACTTGAATTTGATCTCAGGGTCAACCCAAGAGTAGTGAATAGCCCTCTCGGGGTATCGCTGGGCGAGACCAAGTGGTTCTGCGGGTTTATCCTGGCTATCACGTTCACGACACTTGATGCTGACATGCTGTGGTTCGAGGTCGTCCTCATTATCGAAGCAGAGCCAACCCTCCTGATCCCAAATAGGTATGCGCTGGTTCATACGGTAGTACCAGGCTTGGAGACCTTGGACAGTACGCTCGGGTGTGCTGCCGAATCGAGCGGCAAACTCTTGCTTGATTTGTTGCCATTTCATTTTCTTGTCGTGCCAGGCATAGATGATATAGTCGCCCTCCTCTGTCGTATACTTCTGATTAATGTGACGGCTCTCGCCTCCCTCAGGAGGTGGACTCGGGTAGCAGCTCATGCCAGGTAGACCCTGAAGTGATGGACTGCCATATCCATAGTACGTATCCTGGTTGCCGAAGCTGCTTAGAGATTGCCGTGAATAGTCGACAGCGAAAGGGTGCTGGACAGGCAAGGCGATGGTCCCTCGCCTAGAGTTAGACTGTTCACTGGTTGTGTCTTCGGCGGCGCGGCTTCTGGCAGACCATGAGGGCTGAGGTTGTGTGATAGATTTCAGAGGTTCAAGAACGGTCGGGTTGCGAGAGAGTCCAAGGAGTGGAGATGGTACGGCCTCGCTCTTCACGGGCCCATGTGCTCTAATGAGCTCCTCTACACCTTGATCAAACTCTCCCAAGCTGGGAAGTTTCACCGGCGAGCTCACTTCGGTAGATACGACATTGCGTAGCCCGGGAAGACTTGTGAACTCTTCAGGTGTTGTCAGTTACCATTTACTAGATCAATATAACAGACCGTATATATAAAAGCCATGACTTACCCTCGATCTTTACCCTCGGACTTCCAGAAGTTGAGCCTGGTGGGGTTTGTGGTTGACTTGTACGTTGGTAGGTGTGTGTCGGGTTTGGGGTGTTCCCAAAAGGTCTCTGAGTTGTGCCCTCCATAGTGAGGAATGGATGAGTACTCATGTTGATAGCCGTGACACAATAAGCAGATAGGACGATGTAAATGGTCCTGGCCGATTGTTATGATCCAGAGTTGTTTGTTATGATTCAGGTGGAAATAGTTCGCCTCTTGAAGTGGTATCAGGGAGGCGTCAGACGGTAGTTGAGATTTTTGGAGGCTGGCGGAAGGGCAGAGACAAGCCGAGACTAAATGCGCCTTCGTTAACAGGATTTAAGTAAGGGGCGGAGGGCGAGGGAAGCGACGTGAGTAAAGAAGGGAGGATTTGTGCCAGGAATACGTATTGAAAATGCGGGTACCTTTTCAAAATATAAACGTCTTGATGAGAGGGGATTTAACTCTCTTGTATCCGAATGGCGATCCGTTTAGGGTCGATGGATAGGTTGGTAGGGTCAGGGATTGTTTGATCGTTTTGCTAATGCAAGTTCTCCATTCCTATTCTTTTGTTTGGTACCTGAGCCGTCGGGGATAAGCCAACATCAAAGGAAGATGAGATGAGTGATTGTCTCGACTTATGAAGGGGTCTGTGTGCCACCCCTGCTCGACAAGATAGACGCTACCAACAGTCCAACTTGGCGTCAGGCAAAGCGCCTCTTCTGGGAGACACACTCCCCGCCATCAGAGGAGATAAGGTGGAGCGAAGAAGCAAAGGTATCAGCCGGGATCATATCCGTACCTGCGGCCATAATGACAACTTCTTTGCGGGTCGGAGCACCGCCCCTACGTCGGAGAGTGTCCTGTCAGCACCTGTAGATACCTAGGACATCCGCCCGCACCGGGACGATCATCCTGTTTTACCATGCCGTTTTCCACAGGCTGCTTCATCGCCATCTCTGGTGGGGCATATGAAGCCGCGTATCGTATGTATGATGCATTCAAACAGGTTGGACACAAGGTATTAGAATCGAGCCCACCCAGGAGCATTTTATCAGATGACATTGCACCGAGGATCGAGCTCTCAGTATAGTCTCTCATTTCCAAGCTGAGAAGCGTAGGCAAATGCTTTCAAAAACAAGCAAAATGGAACGGGCAAAGTACCCGTTCTGAAGCTTCCAGGAAGCCCCGTGGGACCCGTATCGCGTGGAAGCAAGGGGAGGATTTGAGCGGAGTAGATCATCCCGTAATAACCGTAGGCAGGTACACAGGTAGAGTCCAGATCTTAGCTCACAGCACGATGCCTCTCATCCTTGAAGCAAGCAATTCAGAAGGAAAGCGAGATTACTAGTCAAGACTTGTCCCAAAAGGTATTGTCGCGAAACCTTGTTGTTTCTGACAACTATCCATCTATTTGACTTGGGCTGACTGAGGTTATTATCGAGCACTGTGGATGTGCTAGGCACCCCGGCGCTTCTTGTGACTTACACTGACCCAAATAACGTAAGTAGCCGTTCATTCGAGATCGCGTTAAGCCGAATTTGCACTGTCCGGGGCAAACCCTGTTGCTTAGATCCCAGACAGATCTCGCTTGAGGTGGGCGCAAATGGGATTGGGCCGGGGTCAGCAGCCTGGGGTTGCCACTGTGCTGGTGCATCCAGTCTGGACCAATCCCCTACTGCATAGGGTGCCATAAGTAGCAGGCTAGCTCGTAGAGATTGTGTTTGCTCGTACAGTAATAACTTGATATAGTGCTGGTTGGTTGCAAAACAGTAGCGCGTGCGCCTCAACCGTTCCGCCGGGTCAAGCTGGGGGTGTGTCTTTTTTTGCAATATTCTTTTTTTTTCTCCTCCAAATCGTCTGTTGCCGACAAATAGCCTACTTCAGACGGCACCCAGTCAAATTCCGATATCCAGCGTCGGCTGCCAGACAAATCGATTCCCACATGGAGTCGAAAACCCTACTTCATGGCTGCCCCGGGCAAACTGGGTTGTGTATTGACAACCGCCACAGTTGCTATCAGAACTCTGTGGAGACAAGACGAGCATCTGGCCATAGCGGGGACAAACGGTATGAGGTCAGGGGCAGCTTTGCGAGTTTTGTTTCAGTAGGCCAATCAAAAGATGACTCAAAGTACAGTATGATCCTCGCGAATAAGATGTCGGGCATTCTGCAACGTTGAGCTCAGCTCGGCAGGAACTTGCCTGCCGTAATGACGCATGCAGTTCAGTACACTGAAAGTTGAAGGGACAGAAGGCGGCATTGAAGGCGACTAGATCAAGCAGCGGTGTACTGTACATGAATGAAGGGACTCGGTTACATATGCTAAAGAATAAAAAGGAAGCAATAGTGTGAGGAACCTGGGAGTTTCACGAAGTATACCGTCGAATCTGACAGGTACCTTATGCGGGAGCTCTTGCTCCGCTCTAGTGCAGGTAGCTCAATCAGCAACAAGCCCATTTTGAGCCTCGACAAGTCATTTCTCATAGCGAAAATGTGCGACGACTAGTCCCTGTGGTCTTGTCTTGTATTGATGATGACGATGCAGGGCCATCTCAACCCGAGCTTTGGAGGGGCATGACCGTAACATTGGAAAGAACAAGAAGGTATCCATGTTGAAAGCTCTGGGCAACGGCTTTCGGTCTTCTTAGCTTCTCTCATCCGAAGCTCACCGGTCAACGTGTTAATCTTGATTGTGGCGATAGTCTGCATTGACGATCACAATTCGGTCTGCAAGCAAGTCAGTCCTGGCTATGCACTATTCTGAATATGCAGTAAAAAAAAAAGAAGTCAACAGATGATCTATCTGTTGTGTCAGATATCAAATCTTCAGTATCATAATCGGACACTTGCAGCTGGCGGCACGTCTAGATCGATAGCAGCCATTCAGGTCTGACTGAACTCAGTATAGGCGCGCAATAGCGTCCGAGGCGCCGTCATTGTATCGTGATGGCCCTAACTAGGTCCGTGGAGCCATGCGGTCGAGCGTCATCGGCTTCTCGCATTGAGGGCCGCGGCCAGGGAGAGTTGCTGCTGTGTCACCAAGTGATGACGGTTTTGCTTTTGCTGTTATTGCTTTGGCCAGCGCAGCGAATAGGCGATGCACACTGAGTGACCAGCCACACCTCACCAAGCCCAATATGGCAAACGTTGCAGAAAGATGCTCGTTATTTCGGGGCGGTGTCGAGACTTTCAGTGCCGTACTATACTGTACGGACTGCAGTTGCAGTTCCAGGTTGAAGAAAATGACAGATGACGGATATCATATCGACAAGGATGATGAAATAAGATGAAGTCTACAGCACGATGAGAATGTCGGTCAACTCAGGTGAAGGGAGTTGTTTCAGCCGAAACCTGAGGCATCTTCAGCAACCGGTTAGGTAGGAGCCTCCGTGGGCCTTTGTAGGTAGGTATGGTGACTTCCAGTGCCGTTGGCTGAGCCTCACGTCAAGGAAGGATGGGACGGGACTAAAAACGTTTCTTCCATGTGCTCAAGACATGCCTACCTACCTAAAAACTTTGGAGACAGTATCACCAAGCACATGACCCAAGCGCCTGGCGTCTGTCGCGCTACTGGATCACTCTGTACTACCTCCATCCATCAACCGTTGATTGAATTAAGCAATGGATGGATGGATCTTATTTTTGCACGAGATGTAACCCGAAAGCCATCGGGCGCCACGCCATGCAATGCTGTCGACAGCAGAAAAGTCCATCTCGGAAGTGGAGGGCAATGTTTAACTTGAATTGAATAGTACCCGACACTACTGGCTTTCTTTTCTCCTCAATTTCCACCTCGACCCTCTCCACTTGGACGCTATAAACGTCGCTATGACTATTTCAGACTACAGTACAGTACCTAAGGTAAGTATTAAATGAACGAGCTGCTACAATAAGCAGGGCATGCACTGATAATACTGGCTGCCCACACCCAGTACCTACTGTACAGTACAGTTAGATCCCCATTGTTTGTCGTACGACCTGCAGCGCTATTCTTAACGGATCTTGTCCCCGAGCCCAGTACTAGCCTCCTTGCCTAAGAGATATGGAGAACATGTCGAAGGATGATAACGGCTATCAACTTGGTAATCAAACACTCACTCGACTAGTGACTAACTGCCTACTACGTACAGGATTCATCCTATTGTCGTTTCCTTTTTCCTAATTCGAGCCTCTACAGTACGCACTTGCTTCTACAGTACCCGGATGACATGGACAGTTTGATATTTCTAACAAACCTCGTTAACGAACGCTTGCTATTTGTCAATCCAGTTTTGTTGGTTGCATCGTCAAGGCGCTAGTCAACGGTCGAGGATCGAGGAAATACTTCTAACTCTTTCCGAGGTGAACAATTGTTCAGTTGGACAGACAGACTTTGCCCGGGCTGAGAGCCTAGCCGACCTAGTACCCAGGAAGTCCACGCTCATCAATGCCAACCACGTTTTTCCCCCAATGTGGCTAAACTCGATCGCCTCAGGACAACAAGGGTCGGATGATGCGACATATTCTGTCACTTCTCACTCTGGGTTTGGCCCGCATCTAGATGGGGATGTCGAATTTTTCATGCATTAGACGTAAGGGAACTCCCTTACAATTCGATAACGTTGACATGTCACCTTTTGACTGACTCGCTGAGAAACCAGGAAATTAATCGCATATGAGGTCCAAAATAAAATAAAATTAAAATAAAATAAAAATAAAATAAAAGTAAAATAAAAATAAAATAAAAATAAAATAAAAATAAAATAAAAATAAAATAAAAATAAAATAAAAATAAAAAATAAAAATAATACATTGATTTATTTTACGTTGGCGAACTATTACAGGAGCTTGTATCCGTATCTATGCTAGGGCTGCAGATCAACAGAGCTTCGGTTGCCGCATGCAGATGCAAGCAAGTAAACAAGCAAGCAAGCTCGTTACAAGTTATATAGTGCCAGGGGTCTAATTTAGTTGAGGACCTGTTCGGGTGCAACCCACTGTACATTAATTCGGGAATAAACCAACATCTCTCTCGTTGCCGGCAGTTCCTTACCCTTGTTGTTCGTCGTATCTGATCCTATTTCTGGTCCTTGCTTTTTGTCAGGGTGCATTCGGTTATGATCAACTCTTTGGGTTTAGCACAAGAGTCAAGGGTAGGACACGAGCAGTTTGAGAAGTTTCAGGAATGAATTGCAGGTTCCTTGATAACCGATATAGACTACTGTAGCGACAAGATTCTATTTGGGGTCTCGACACGTGGTTGACAGTTGAACATTCGAGAATTGTCGACTGTAACCATGAGCCATGAACCATGATTCAGTCTATAGCTTGGGTTCAACTTGGACATGGCCTTGCGACATTGAACCAGTCCCAGGAAATGATTCGTCGCCAGAAAATCGCCTACATTTTGAGTTAGCACAGCCCAGCATTCAAACAAGGTAGCTAAACAGAAAGAGAAAGAGGCTATTGTCAACTCACCAGCCTCGTTCTTCTCCAGAGCTCAGGAAACTACAATCGCTGTCTAATTCGCAATGCCACTCCCGGCTGGCTTCGCTTATGGGCGATTGGGATTCGTCTGCTCCTTTGTGTTTGTCAACATTCTGCCGCCAGAGCCTGTCATTTGACATCCACTACAGAACAAACTTACCAAAGCTTGGCATTTGCGTGCCCGTGCCCGTGCCCGTACCTGTGTCTGTGCCTGTGCCTCGTTGATGGCGGCGGTACGTGCTTAGACCACATGTAAAAGCATGGAAATCTTCTTCTTCGACGGCTTCGGGGATACGCCCCGTGAGAACACGGCCCAAGGCTATGACAACGGCTGCATGGGTACAAAGCACCACCGCACGTTTCCCCTCGGCATCACAGCGTTCGATGATGGCTTGCACGGCCGCTGCAACACGCCCATAAAGGTCCTCGATCGTTTCGCCTTTTCTGGAAGGCTTGATGGCAGATACGTAGCTGTCATTGTAGGCTGGAAATAGCTCCTTGAGTCGCTTATGCGACGCTGGGATTGGATGGTCGAAAGGCGCTGCTCCAAAGAACTCACCTAACCCGTGTTCTGGACAGATTGTGGCGGTCGCAGAGCCATGTTGTATTCTTGGTTCATCTTTCAGTTGTTGCTGCTTGAGCTCAACAAAGGGCGTTATTGTCTGTAGGCAGCGGTAGTATGGACTGGAGTATACGGCATCGATGGGAGGATCCAAAGTCATCAGATGTTTGCCCATCTCTTTTGCTTGTGAGACTCCATGAGACGTCAGAGCAGGGTCTGCGGGAATTCCTGTTGGTGACCGTATGGCAGCGGTATAGACACCAGTCAAAGGGTCAACACTCCAGCCGGACCGGAACTAGATTCAAGGCCGATCTGTCAACACCGCCAGAACAAGACTCCAAAGCAGGCCTGGATCGTGGATCGTGGATCGGAAACTTACTCCATGACGGGTGATGTAGATGACTTGGAGCGACATGTTGCTTATATGTACTGGTGAGGCAAGGTACAGCGAGTGATGAGGTTATCTGAAATCTATGCTACGGTGTTTGTTGTAGGGACTGAGCCGTATGCACTACGGAGTACGGAGTACTGGGTACGGGGTACGGGACTGGTAGCCTCGGGACCTCGGTGCTCGGTAGGCCACATGCCGACCAGAGCGACACGGCCCCACATCCCCCGAGAAGCCGCCTACGGATGGCCGAGATCGAGACCTCGGAGCCGTTATTATCAATTGATTCAGCTTCATGAGAAGCACAGGGCCCTTGCTTTCAGTAGCACGGGGAAATTAATAACACGCCGCTGGCATCGGAGAGATGGAGTCCGAATCTTCAACAATGCAGGAGGGGCGATCGAAATAGCGCCAGACTACTGTTTAGTCTGCGTTACCACCGCTTGATTTCGTCCGGTCCAATCCTGAGTCGGGCATTTGGGTCGGCTAAATTCTAACGAAGCGAAACTTAGTAACTTCGGATGAAGAAATCGATATTCCCAGGCCTCCGTCACGCATCGACTGCCATTGGCGGATCAAGTCCGTTGAGATTTGAATTGTTGGTCTAGCTTTGGAGCTAGACAAGGGCTTCGAATGAACTTGACGAAAAGATTTGCGAATTGTAACGAAATTATGATCCTTGCAGAGGTAGCTATCAACACGCCCACAGGACGAGGGAAGATTGGGACGGTATTCCATCATCGACGACATTCGTATCTTCTCCAATTCTCATCCCTTTCCTTCACGAATTTTAGAATCTTCAGATTCGCTCTAGGGTAGGTAAGATACTCCAGTTCAATCCAAGAATGGATTAGCGTGAAGATTGTGGATCAAATGGCTCACGTCAGCCATAAGCCATCTCAACGGCTTACATGAGTTCCCCTGGAATCCTCGATTTGTGCATTCAAGCTTCTCGATGCTATTTTCCATAAAGAATCAATCCGTATATACGAATACAATCTGAAGAAATGGTTCAAGATCGTACAAGAGTCTCTCAGCTCTCAACAAACACTAGTCAGCCCTCCCAGAATGGCTCAGGCTCATCAGCCATCAAGAAGAAAGTTGTTCGGCGAGATCCAGAAAAGAGACGTATGCAGAATCGCTTAGCACAGCAGACCTATAGTAAGTTAGTCCAGATCAATAGGTTAATTGCCTTACTTATATTGGCCAGCCATGTGCGGTGGCTGACATGATCCATCTTCAGGGGAAAAGCAGAGAAAGCGCATACAGGAATTGGAGCGTCGTGCTGCAGAGCACGATACCGAGGTAAAAGATAGTGACGGATCTATTGAGGAAGTACACCCCGTAGGGTACAACAGTACTACAAAGTCTGCTGGAGGATTCCTTCTGGACGCCGAGACTGTCAACCCATCAGATCTCTACAACGGCCTTGATACGACAGTATCACACCAATCAACCGCACATGTCGAAACATGGGACTCAGATATCATACACGAGGACTTCGACAAATGGCTCATCGCAAATCCAATTTACGACGAACATACCACGCCGGCAGTATTCTTCAACTGTGGCTGCCCTACTCTTCACGTCCCCAACACCTCGATGGAGGTTCTACTCCCTGTCATCCCCAACCCATACAAGAACAACCTCCAGATGGACATCATATGCATCATCTCCGCTATGCTAGAGAACTGCCTCTCTCTTGGAATAACGCGTTCCATGTACTGTGCTGAGGAGGCCGTGTCGCCTTTCTTTCGAGCCCACGTCCAGGAGGATCCCAGCTCGCAGGCTATCGTTGCATCTGTTCAACGTGGCGCTCGTGGACTGCATTTTGATCTTCGTCCTACACAGACACAGATAGTTACCGACCATCATCCTTTCATTGATACAATTCCGTTCAAGGAGGTCAGGGATAACATCATCAAGTACATGAGTTCTGATGAAGAGGATGAGTTCTTCCACGACTCGTTGAATCACTTGACATGCTGGGGAGGTATCAACGGTGCACATACCGGAACACCATGGGATGCGAGAAGTTGGGAGGCAACAGAAGAATTCATACAGAAGTGGTCAAATATTGTAGGAGGTGAAGAAGGCGAGCTGGCAAGGAATTCGCAGTGGTGGAGGTCACTTCGTGGCGAAAGAACCATCACCGAGATAATGTGAAATGAAGCATGTTTGGAGACTTTTAGTAAATGAATTGGTTCAGTATATGTGCAGTATATTTGATTGTCTATACGCGTGTGCACAATGTCGAATCATAGACTGAATAGACAAGATACACAAATCTATTGCCATCTTGGCGTGACCATGTCTCTGTAAAGGAAGAATATGCCCAAATCTACCATAACGCCCTGTCAAGGAAAAAAGAAAGAAAGAAATCAGCGTCCCGAATTGAACTCCTGTCCATTTACCCAAGCCCTGGACTCCGAAAGAAAGAGAGAAAAAAGTGTTTCCAATATGTTGATTCGTATATCATTCTTCTGCATTTTTGGCGTACAGTCGCTTGTGTCATTCATGTCATATCTCGGGCTTACATGACAGCGCATGAGCCCAGAGTGCGTGCCCTACGGCGACCGGTGGGACCGAAACCACCGTCCTCCTCGTCTAGATGGAGGGCTTGGGCTTCTCTGGCTCGACGCCTGCGTCTTCGGTAACCTGCGCCTGTCATGCCAGCTTCTTCAGTGGCCTGCATATAATCTGCCCACTTTCTCTCCAGACGACCGGCGGATGCCAAATCACCACGTAGAACCCGCTTTTGATGCTCATCTACGGTCATCTGGAAGCCATAGAAACACTTGAGTCCGATCATCTCGGTAGGGTAGCTGACTTTGCCGGGTTGGCCTGAAACGCCCTTGACTTGAGTGTTTCGGAAAAGCACCTCACGAATACCTGTCCAGGTAACGTTTTGGCAGTCGTAAACGACCATCTGAAGGCTGAGTTTCGGTCGTGTTCCATTTTCCGTTGATCGCTGAGAACGCTTCATGACCATAGCCGCTGCCTCGGCGAGGACAAGGTCGCTAACGCGGGTATTGTCGAGATCGATGTTTCGGAGATTCGTGCAAGTTTGCATGACCGGGATCATTCCTGTGTCACCCAAGTTTTCGCAGTAGCTCAATGACAGATGTTCTATAGAAGTTGCGCAAGGAGCCTTGGCAAGGTGCTCTGATAGGATTGAGTTTGTGAGGTTTTCAAGGTCCTCAAGTTCGAGATGTGTCAGTCGAGGAGTAGATGCTAGGATAGATTCGAGAGCATCGTCGTTCAGCAGCTTGCAGCCGGACAACTGAAGGCCCTCAAGGTCCGGCACCAAGTGGCCTATCGTTTTTACGCCTGCATCTGTAAGTTGTGTACATCGGCTGAGGTCCAGGTGTCGAAGCTTTCGGGCAGGAACAATGGGTTGATCGGTCAAGATATCGATTTCAGGCTCAACACCTTGCATCATGATTTTGAGAGCCTCGTCATTGAGCTCGGCACAACCGCTCAGAACCAACCTCTCCAGATTGTTTGTCTTGAAGATGGCTTCAGCAGTCTCAACATTATCGAAACCTCCAACCTCTCCAGCACGGAGATCTCTCAATTTCGGGCACCCCTCAACCACCGCCTTGACACCTCTGGCATCAACCTTGCCACACCATGAAATGTTGAAAGATTCAAGTTGATGGCATGACTCAGCAATGATCTTACATGATGTGTTGGAGACTGCGGTTAGCCCAGTGAGGTTGAGGCTGACAAGTTTATCGTTGTTTCGCAACAAGCTATGCAGTGTGCTCTTCTGGAAGTTCTGGCAACCTTCCAAAGTCGCATCCATAAGGTTCTTGCATGCCTTCACAATAACTTCGGTGCGCTTGTAGTGCTCGACCTGTACACAACCTCGTAGGTTGAGGTCCTTGATGAAAGGACCTGCCGCAATAATGATTCTGGCGAGTGACTCGGCAGGAATTTCACGATAGAATTCAGAGGCATCAAGAGACGTCCACAATTGACCATCAAAACATGTCTTGTAAAAGGCCTTGGAGACTCGAGATGCCTGGACGAGCTCCTTGGGCTGGAAGAATGAGAAAATGTGAATCTGAAGTTCATTGGGCATCTTTTCCCAGAAGCGGAATGGAGACTTCTGGATAGGCTTTACACCTGGACGAACTCGAAGCTGAACATCTTGCTTAGATCGGAACTCGGATGGAAGAGGCGCGGTAATTGGAGTTGTAATTGGGGTGGAATTCTCGATTCTGCGAATAGCCAATTCTCTATCAGGAGTTTCGAATGGGAATTCTCCCGATGACTGAGGACTTGAACCTGAGGTGCTGGGCAGACCAAGAGGCGAAGGCTGTGGGGTTGATGAACGTGCGCTATAAGGAGTCTGAGACTGGGGTGGTCCAGTGGCCGCAAGACTAACACACGAAAGGGTGCTTCTCGTGCTATAGGGACTTCCACGGCTGCCAACGGATTTGGAGCGGCGCAAGCCACTCAATGAGGGCGTTGAAGATATGCGCTGGATTCTTTGAATAAGACGGTGTCGGTTCTTACCCTTGACGGGCATGTCCGGTGCTGGCGGAGTGGATACGCCCTCTGGGACCGGGCTCGGGGCGCCGGAAGATGAGACCTCGTAAACGTTCATGGTCAAGAGTCCTCAATTGGGTTCGAGAGGAGATTTTGGTGCTGAGATCGGTCGAGAGCTTGAGATATGGGATCTCACAGCCACAATATTCTCGAGACGACCAGGACAAGATTCTTCGATAGGAATTGTACAGTACTGTAAGCGTCGGTCGGTCGATGGTGGGGGTTGGAGTGGTCGCTAGCAGAGCAGCAGGGGACAATGCAGGGTCTTGGTCTTATTTCATCGCTAGCGAATGATGGAAGTCGATATTGGTGTTGAGTAGGTACTGTAGGTATGGACAGAACAGATAAGGAAAAGAAACAAGACGGATGCAAGATCAACGGAGGAAAGGAAACAAAGATAAAAGAAACCTCGTGCAAAATATCGCCAAGGGAGAAAGTAAGAGAAAAAAGATCCAGTGTTAAGGTCGTCCGCTCGTTTTTTCTGGAGGGAAACCGAGGAGATCAGCAGACGACGGGGGACTCGGCGAGGGTGGTGGGGGGGTGGTCAGCGGGGCCGTTTCGTCGTACAGTAAGTACCTCTACAGTCCAGTATCCTAATTCGTGTAGATACCGGGCTGTATGTATACTTGGCTTGGGGGCTGGTGTAAACGAGGTTCAAATAGATGGAATTGTGCAAGTACAGTATCCAATTTCTAGGATGTAGGTAGGTAGTTGTTGAAGAATAGGGCACATGCTCATCAAGAAGTGAACATGACCTTGAAGTGATGACCAGACCAGAAAGACAAGAGATCAACTCAATATGAGGGGATAAGAATGAGGCTTTTTGTTTGTTAGACACTCGCTCGCTCTAGAACATAATCCATCAATCCAATAACTTAGTAACTTCCAAGACTGTCTAGATCCCTCAGAATTTCGTGTACCTTGCCGAATTGCAGTCGAAGGACCAGACCTAGGAGGACCCTTGGTTCCCGACTTCTGGGCCGGGGGGGGTTCTGGGGCTATCGCTCACTAGTTCCCCCACTATTCTTCTTATCGTGCGGGCTGCGGCGGGGGGATCGGCTTTACGCGACTGTTTCTGGCGGCCCGGATGGCGAATCTCTTGTATCCGCTTGATAGTTCATCTTGTAGCGCTTCGGCGAATCCTGGCTGGAATGAGACTTTATACAGCATCGCGGGATACACGAGGCGAGCACGAATCAACTAAGCTACTAACCTAGGCTCAGCTCAGCCCGGATTCTGAAGCCCAATAATCCAACGGGACGGTGATCCGGAAGCCAATCAGTGGCACAGCTTTAGCCAGATGCTCCGGCTTTGGCTCTGACTTTCTCTCTGGAAGGATTGGATGTCAAGCTGCACCTTTCCCTGGCGACCTGAGTACAGTAGACACCCGTCCTGTTTCTTTTTCTATCGGCCTTTCTTCAGGGGCTTTTTGAGGGGTCCTGTTGGTGGGAAGCTCTCCCCACCCCTCCACTCACTCTCCTCCATCCACCATCCATTCATGCATCTTACCCGAGCCATCCCAAACCCGGGGAGGAGGTCCAAGTCAGTTTCTCGTGTCCGCGTGGCACTTTTTTATATCTCTCACGCTGAGGCTGTTTTACCAACTATGAATAGCATTCAATGCCCTTTGTTTGTTCCTGACAAGACACCAGAGTGCAGGTCTCTCTCCTGGATGCCTGCCGCCAGAAAATGGGCTCGCTTAAACTGATCAACTGAGGCATCCGCATCCATTGCAAAGACCATCACTACTGCAAATGGTTACCAATGGACCGTTGCTTCAGCCAGATGGCACCACAGACTCAGGGACCTTGCCTCCGACTACTGCACGTCGACCTGTACCAACGCACGATTCAAAATCCGTCCCTGACTCAAGGGTCCATGGCTTGAGGCTGGGCCAACCATGGGGAGACAACCTGACAACTTTCTCCGCATTCATGTTATGTACAGTAGAGGTACAGTGCTGCACAGTACTGTACTGTCAGTTTTTAACTTCTCGAAGGCGGTCAGAACCCCGTCTGGCCACTGGTGAGGGGAATATTCGTTGATCTCAACAAATCAGTACAGTAGCCCCGACTATTAGCCTATAGGTTATTTCTTCTCATTAATTCTTTGGTTTGTCTGCTCAACGCCCTCTCGTCTTGGTTCCTTCCTCTTTCAGTCTCGACTGTAAGCAACTTTGGGAAACCCTGGGGAAGACCCCACTGAAATGGAAGGATGGAAGGATGAGGGGCATCCTTCCAAGACTTGAAAGCAGATGACCCCGCCTTCTATGCTCGGGCGATAACAGCCCGATTCGATTGTCCTTATCGCTCTGAATGTTTGGAAGTTTTCATACCTCGACAAAAGACGTTCATTACAACAGTCGTTTCAAAATGTACCTATGGTGAACACTGTCGCTTGAATCGCTCATGTGTCGCGTGCTAAGGCTGGAAATGCACCACTGGGATCACCAGACATCTTTTCATGGGGCTTCATGTTCATCTCAGGTAGCTTCCCAGCGACCGTATGATCATCTACCGCCCAATAGATTAGATTCCAGGACTATTGTCACATTGTTGCTATCTTTCTTATCAGCTATGTATTCAGTAGAGAATCAAAGACTAGGTACATATACTATCACTGGTTCATGTCGCGTGGTCAAAGAACAATTTGGCCTTGTCTGGTTGAGACATGACAGAAGATCTGAGCTGTTGGGGTGATCGTCTGACTCGGTTGGTCACACTTCGACTGATAGAAATGGAGAATGGCCAGTCCCATACCAGCGGTCAATACTTGACGAGGAGAACTCGTGCCCTGAGTTCAAGTCGGATTTCCACAGGTAATTATTTTGTCCTCATACTGGATTTGTCGTATTTACGTTTATGTAATTGGTGATTAGTGAGTTCGCTGATTGTTACTACAGATCTGTGAATCTCGAGTCTTATATGAGCACGGATATCGAGTAAACAGACACTCGAACTATTTGCTTGTTTTCCAACTGCCATCTTGACGTTTTCCGTTCTTGATTTGTATATCCGCAGGCTCACATGTTCTTGGCAATGAATGTTATTCGGGCAAAGTTATTGGTAGGAAATACTTATGGCTCAATGAGCTATTTCCTCCACGATCTACTGCACGTGGGTACTGTAGATACAGTATCAGCAAACACGTACAATAGCATGAGCAAACACGTACAATAGCATGATATTTCTCGCCATAGGGTGTGTTAGCTTCTATACAATCAAATTGATGCACTTTGTTTCCCATGTTACACTCTGTACTGTAGTGTAGCATAGTTGTAGTTGGCTGAGAGGTATATCATCCATTGTATAGGTACCTACCTACTATCCTCTGCGTCAAATAAACTATCAGCGTTGATTTTTAAACTTTTTGAGTGCATGAAATCTAAGTTTCAAGTTACCATGGGTAACAAGGGGTAAAGCCTTGGTTCTGGGAAACGGGCAATTTACCTGATTCACATGCTTCTTGTTTTATTGAGCCATTCTTGGAGAAGCATTATGTACATTAGTTCCATACTGTACTCTTCTTGTCTTGATAGAGAACGACCATCGGCGTGGCGTCAATCTTTCAACTGTTCTTCGATGATAACGATTGGCAAGTCGTATGCAGAGTTTCAGTTGATCCGCAGCTGAGGAATTAAGTGTCGCAAGCAAGAGAGCACTAGATTATTGGAAGCCAAGATCTTGTATGTTTACAGCTCAGATCTTACCCGACCTGGACAAATAACTATGAATTGTAAAACAATCAAAAACACTACATACGTAGATACAGTAAGATGCCAAAGACTTGATAAGTTGGATCTCATCTGACATCGGGTTGTGCGGAAACAGAAAACGGCTGCGTCATTTGCCTCGTCGGACCAGGTTCAATGATGGGTGCAAATGGCTTACAACGGCTGGGCTTAACTCAACGTGCTGCCTATTCAGTGCATCTTTTGGGGGGTCCCCCGGGAGCAGGTAGTGGCTACGATTCAATCTGAGCCAATCAGGTTATCTAATGACTTCACAAGTCTCGAGAGCAGCCTATGATAGCGCCTCAAATCCTCTTCGGAGTCTCCATACTCCATGATTAGGTTGGTGCCTTCAACATCCGTACCTACGTTCGTTCTTTAGGTACTTTACTCGACGAAGGTTCTTGACAATTAAAAGTTCGCGAGGGCATTTTATTTTCTCCTGTCGCAAACGCCTTGTGCATCTGTTTCGCAAACTTCAATATTCTTACACTTATACGATTACCCGTTCCCCTCATAACTGCACACACTTGGCATCCCACACGACTCATAGCAACTGTTTCCTTTGTGATTCAGGTCACAAGCCAAGACACAGCCCTGCAAAGACACCCCCATCCTCGACAGTCTCAATCGTCACCCTTCGACTCTCAACCCTAGAATATCGACGACTCGACATTTATTCATACATACCTTGACTATCCACCAGTCTTTTTTGGATAATCCTACGACACACGATCCCCCTTTCGCGGTAACGGCTGGTTTCAATTCTCATCCAACTTTGGCAATCGAGGCAACCGAGATTTCCTGCTTGACCCCGCCATCCTCAGAGCAGGCCTCTCGCAGCCCTTCCTTCACGACTTGATCCGTGGTTTCGGCCTTCCCTTGGCCGACTCCAACTATGCTACAGATGCATGGCGGAAATAATGATCATGGTATTCTTTTCCACAACCCGGCACTACTCTTGACCTGGCTTTGCCGGTGACTGACCAATGTTTACTGTAGGAGCTGAAAATCGCACGGGAGATGATGAACGCGGACGCGAGAAGTTCCCGATGGCTCTCTCCTTGCCAAAGAACCGTAGCACAGGAAATTTGGCGGCCGCTCGAAACTCATCGACCACGGATCGAAGTAGAGCACGAATGTCTCTGGATGCATCCGCAGCGGCGGCAGCAGCCGCTGACCTTGAAGCTATCGCCAGGTATGTCGAGCGGGATCATGCGTCACTCAACCCAGAAGTGGCGTCCAACCTCTGCTGGCGATTGCTGACCACCACATCATCTATAGGTCTCCCATCATGACCGATCACGAGCATGGCTTGGGCCTGTCCGGCCTTCGACGAATAAGACAACAACGCCCACCATCGAGAAACCCAACACTACCAGGATCTCGAGCCTCTTCACGAAGCCCCTCCGTTGCCGCCTTATCTCGGTCAACCTCCATGAGTGCTATGGCCGCCAGCGCAGGCAGCTTATCATTGACAGGCGGCCCTGCAACTCCAAGTTTCGCTGACGACCTCTCCCGCTTTCCATCCGAATCTTTACATTCTTTCTCGTTTGCCAATCAATCCGAAGACTTCCTGCATAACCGACAAAATGTTCTCAAGCGATCCATTGAGTTCATGAAGGACCATATGGGACTTCCTATCAGCTCGTCACAGGCTGCTCTTGCGAGTGCCCAGGCGAGGGTAAGCGGCGATGTAGAGACCCAGAATATGCTCGACCTACTGGCTCAAGCACAACTCATCAGAGCCGGAAATTTGCCAAATCCCGACGACGATTACACCCCAGCTCCTTTAACCGGCCCTGCGGAGGTTTCTCAAGAAAATGTCTTTGACAAAAACTTCAATCCTCGAACATCCAGCACAGACTTGATCAGCCCTCGCCAAACGTCGCCACCTCCTCGACGATCAAGAGTCGAAACAACAAGAAGATCTAACCACCTCGAACCAGTGGCTCATGAGGCTGCTCACAAGTCAGATCAATCATCGGTACCGGCAAATGAGAATGAGAGCACTGGTGGGAAATCGGCACCCGTTCGGCCGAAGTTGACCTTGAAGCGAACCATGACGGATATCACAGCAGTTTCAGCTCAAGATAGGTTGATGGACACAGTGTCACAGCCATTCTTGACAGGACAGCCTATCTATCAAGAACCGCTGAACTCTCCTTCTTTGGCGCAACTTCCCAGTGCCACAGCAGCCAACTTCCCCACCCAGTTAGGCCCTTCTGTACACGGTCACACAAATCGCTGGGTACCCGCCGCCCAAGCAATCTTCACAACAGAAGTGAAGCCTCCCTGGACTATCATCGCAGCCAACGATCTTGCTTGTTTGGTTTTCGGCGTGACCAAAGCTGAGGTGCGCAAGATGGGTATTTTGGAGGTTGTTCAGGAAGAGAGGAGGTCGTGGCTAGAGCGAAAGCTTCTAAAACAATCAGACGACGAGTACAGCGAAGGGCAGACGTCTTCTGGACCAAGTACTCCGGCTGCTTCAGCGGCGTCGGCTTTGCTCAACGGTAGATCTGGAATAACAGCCCAGCTCCTGAGCAAGCCCAATTCGAGGACTCAACCACGCAACCAGACGCAAAGGCGTGCACAAACGGTTCACAGCGGCGATCCCAACCCTCCAAAAGTTGGAGCTGGTGGTCACGGCCATAGCCAAACTAATTCGTCTAGAGGCGTACTACTGTGCGGTGATGTTGTCCCAATTCAAAAGCGTAACGGTGCGACCGGTTCAGCAAGTCTCTGGGTGAAGGAAAAGAAGGTCGGCCTGATCTGGGTCCTGGAAGAAATCCACGAAGATGTTGCTTACATCACACTGGACGAAGAAGGAATCGTGCAAAAAGTTTCCGGGTCTACTACCACTATCTGGGGATTCGAGTCGATCCCCCCTGGATTCGATATCGCGAGACTTATTCCACGGATCCCTCGCCAAGGTATCGATCCCAACACGGGAGAGATCGACTTCGCCCAAGCGACAAGACGAAGATATTTTACTTGTCCCCATTCACCACAAGTCAACATTCCTTGTACGGTCGAGCAAACTCGTGGCAAGCTTGAGCTTCGTGTATCGACTTTCCCTCACATGGCTGGAATCATTGTAGTTGAGCCCGAATCCCTCAAGATCCGAAGCTCAAACTCAGCCTTTTGCGGTGCACTCTTTGGATTTGAAAAGGCCGATGGTATGTCGATCAATGCATTGATCCCAGAGTTTGACAGCATTCTCGAATCGTTGATAGATGAGGATGGCATTCAGCTCCTCGATGGTATGGTTGTTCCTGAGCATCGTTTCAGGAAAGCATCGGCATTCCTTGCACTGAAAGAGAACAGACCCGATGCTGCGTCGGCTTTCCTCCATCCTGCTGGATTGAGTGCGAAGCATCGCGACGGGTCCGACCTGAAAGTCGATGTCCAGATGCGCGTAGTCAAGAGTGAAAAGAAGACCCGTGTGGTGAACGAAACTGTTGCTGAAGGCAGTGATGAGGACAACGCCACCGGCGATGGAGACGCAACTTTCGAAGTGACTCATTCAGAAATAGTGTATGCTTTGTGGGTTACCTACTCACGCCATCTTCATGGCACCCAGCCTCATCTCAACCTTGAGAGTCCTACTCCCGGAGCCCGCACACCCCTCCACCAACCGTCCCCTGGTCAGACTCCAGCTCATACACCTTTGGAAATTGCCTCGGATGACGAGTCACCTCGAAAGAACATGCTAGTCGCTGCCAGCTCGCTGTCCAGGCATTTGAAAGACGCTGCCATGAATGCTGCTGCCAAGATCACCGGCCAGCAAACAAAGCCTAAGCCTGAGGAGGCGCCCCCAGTACCAAAGGTTGTCGAACCTCCACATAAGAAAACAATCAACGACTATACGATACTTGAGGAAATGGGCCAAGGTGCGTACGGTCAAGTGAAGCTAGCCCGGCATAAGGAGTCGGGCAAGAAGATCGTGCTCAAGTACGTCACCAAGCGCCGTATTCTCGTGGACACTTGGACAAGGGACAGGAAACTGGGTACTGTTCCTCTGGAAGTTCATGTCCTGGAGTACCTTCGCAAGCCTGAGCTACGTCACCCCAACATCGTTGAGATGCAGGGCTTCTTTGAAGACGACGTAAATTATTATATTGAGATGATTCCTCACGGATTGCCTGGCATGGACTTATTTGATTACATCGAACTGAGAACCAACATGGATGAGGCCGAGTGCTGCAGCATCTTCGTCCAAGTCGCAAACGCTATTCACCACCTACACACCAAAGCCAAGGTGGTCCACCGCGATATCAAGGACGAGAATGTGATCCTTGACGGGGAAGGCAACATCAAACTTATCGATTTTGGAAGTGCTGCATATATCAAAAGCGGACCGTTTGATGTTTTCGTTGGAACAATCGGTATGACCCCTGCCTACTTGACTGAGTAATGCTAATTTTTATCTAGATTATGCCGCTCCCGAGGTTCTCGCTGGCAAGCCTTATCGGGGTATGGAGCAAGATGTATGGGCCCTGGGTATCCTTCTCTACACCATCATCTACAAGGAGAATCCTTTCTACAGCGTTGACGAGATCATGGACCGCGACCTGCGAATACCTTATATCCTAAGCGAAGAAAGCATTGACCTCATTCGCTGCATGCTGGATCGTGATGTCGCCAAACGCTACGACATCAACCAGGTGTTAGAACACCCCTGGTGCCAACTTGCAAACGATGCATGAGGCTACAGCCTTACCCATTCTCAGAACACGATATATATAAGAGATGTCGATGACCAAACATTCTGATGCACTACTTGACGATTTATTATGGTCACAATACCCTTGTGGACAAAGCGACCTCATTATTCCCCCCCTTTGTCTTATACGCGTTAGATGCGATTGACGTGGAGCAACCTGAACGAAGATAGAAGAGAACACACGATACCTGCTCCAACATTAGGTGCAACGCCGGAAAGGCTAGTATGAACTTTTTTTTTTTATTTAAACGAATTACTCCGGCATGGAGGATACAAAGACCGGATTTCCAAAGAGCGTGAAGGATATGGATTGGGCACACTGGCGGGAGTTGTTTTCGAACTTTTGATTTTGGTGACATTGCGATAGAAAGAAAAGAAATGCAGGATGCAAGGCATTCTCATTTCCAGAAGCAATTGGAGATAGAAATTACCAATATTCAAAATGTATATACACCACTATGGATATCTCTGAGAATGAAACCCTCGGTGAGATTTTCATCTTTGAAGCAGATCTATGTAGCACCCAAGTGAATGCTCCTGTACACATTCTAACGATAATTCAACTCGGGATTAGCCCTGAAATTGCACCGGCATCGACACTCGGGCACCGGACACTCGGCGTGTCTAGCAAACCACTGCCGAGCATGGTCAAGGTGCAAAACATGTTCGCAGCGAAGACAGAATGTTGGGAACTGTCCGGCCATCTTGGCTTCACTTTTCTCCTCCGGCTTGTCAGAGCGCGGTACACCGACAATCTCGAGACACACTACACATCTTGGGAGATGTCGACCGCAGTTGGGGCAGCTTACACCTGCGTTGATGCTCGTCGCGAGGAGCGGGTTACGAGACTCGAGCGCTGATGCTGCTTGTGCAGCAGGGCCACCTCCAAGGTGGGGAGGGTGGCTGGCATTATTTGCAAGAGATGTCTCGGCGTCGCAGAAAACGCAGCGGAGGGCGATTTGGCGAGAGGGTGGCTTGAGTTTAGGGATGCCGTCCCGTTTGGAACGTTTCGTAGACTCAACATCGAATTTTGTACGCTGGAAGAAAAGTTTGTGACGTTGAAGATGGGCTCGGTATGCGTTGCGCCACGCCCGGCAGCGTATATCGTCAATATAGCGAGGTGCACATATAGACAGGACCAACGTTGCTGTTTGGACATCATGGAACTTTTGTATGTAACGAGCAAATATGTCGACCATGGGCTCAGTAATACCGGTAAGGACAATGCCTTCTATGTCTCCATCTGCTATCGCCAGATCAATCTGCTCGTTGAGCCACTTGGTGAGATGATCATCGTCGAAATTGCGTATAGCGATATACACGCGATCTGATAAGGGGAGAGAAAGTTGGCTGGCTATGGCCGTCCAATCACCAGTTGCAATGAGTGATGAGATAGCCCGCAAATAGGGGTCAGTCTTTGAGGCGACTGCTTCGTCAAAATCAAGCTGTTCTTTGGCCAGTGTACTATCCCCACCACCCATGAGCTGTAGAGCTAGGGACACAAATAACAGTTCTGGGTGTGCGGTGCTGGCTTTCTTGAGAATCTGAATAGCTTCCTTGTGGTCACCCGTGAACAAAGCTCGAGCAGCCGCCATGGTATGAATGGTGGTAGGATACTCTGGATCCGCCTTGCGGTTACGGCCTTTGGGATCATGCTTTTCTGAATCTCCCCAACCTGACACATCCAGGCAGAGCTGACGAAGGGCGGGCCACTTAGTAGCCGCTCCATCGAATTTAGGAAGATGCTGCTTCTTGCAGAAATTCGCAATGCTGCGTTCCCACGTCGAACGGTCAGGAGGTGCGGTGCCTGGGGGTAGACGAGTGGAAGGTTCCCGGCCTATATTGTGGTCAGCCGATGCTCTTGGAATAACACTATGTACTTACCGAGATTGTTGGTCCATATTGAATGGACTCCCAGGTAGCTCATGTCAATATTGGACAGAATCATGCCTCCATCGTCGGCGAAATGTTCAGCACCTAAGATTGGTGAGCTCCTACTACAACAGTTGTCTCGTTCCATATTTTTAGATATACTTACTGGCAACCCAGTCCCACACATACTTGACCCAAGGGTCATCCGCTACAATATCTCTGTTTGCCACAGGATCAAAGAGATATTTCTCTTTGGCACGCAGCAGCATCGCGTGATCAAGCACGCTCTGTGCTTCTCTGGGCAGACCTTCAGCCTCAGCGAGTGAAGCTAATAAGGCATCGTGTATCTCTCGACAAGACCCTAAACTGTCTGAAGCCAAAGACATCTCGCTCGTTTCACTTTGCACGATCTTGGTATCGCCAGCACGGGGCTTGATACCTTTGGGTGCTTGAAACTCATCTCTGACAAATGCACGTAGGGCTCTAATTTTAGGTGCCACTGTAGATGCTTTGTGGAAGGCTTCAGGTAATGGTCTTGACGTGGCTCCGACGTCCTCTATCACAACTGAAGACAGACTGTTCGCCTTTAGTGCCGCTTCTGTGTCTACCCGAATACTTGCGCTATCTGACCCGAAAAGAGGTACGTCCGATAGCGCTTCTTCGATGAGTAGGGGCCCTAGAATGTCAGGGGCCTGCGCGGGCTCGAACTGCATTATGCTTCGATACGGCGCTCCCTCTGTATATAATTAGATCGAACAAATGTTTGAAAATTTTGATCCAATTTACCTTCAAGCCCACGATGTGGTGATTTCCATGGAACGAGTTTGTAGACGTGATCCGAAGTCTGCGATGGCTGTTCCAGGATCTCAAAGTTCCCATTTGCTCGTAGAACAAGTAATCGTGGACGTAGTACTGGTGAGCTCAATGTCACCCAGTCAAAAGCAACAATTCGGTCGTTCTTTCTTGATGTTTCAACATAGGAGACGTCCATCTCGTACGACTTTTGGACTTGCAGAAGCTCTGGATTACTTGAACCGGAAGACGGGGTTTCTTTGTTAGTGTTCAAGACCTTGAGCTGTCCAGTACGCGATAGGACAGCAAGTAAGCCGCGGTGGTCACGACAGTAACGAAGAGAGCGGACTAAAGAATACTTTCCTTCTGCCAAGAAGGGATCGGAGTCTGTCTCAATCACTCGATCGAGACGTAATGCTCCACCCCATGGAAGTTCGTCCTCCTCGATTGCTTGCATGTACGCATGGGAAGCCACAGGGCGTGTTGTGGCTCTCCGATCCCATATCATTACACCAGGATGATCGAGTGCGGATGAAGCAAAGTAATTCTGATCAGCATAGTCGATTGTGAGATTATTGTTACATTTGGTCTGGAATGTCACAATGCTTCCAGGATCTATGGGAGAATATCAGGTCAGTTTGCTCAAATGGTGGTTGATTATGAGGCTTACCGCGAAGATCATGTATTCGGAGGCCTTGGGCCTTAATACCAACCACAAGAGTTTGAGGGCTATCCTCAAAAAACTTGATACTCGATACAGAGACGCTGGGCTCCAGACGATGTTTTGGGTCAGCAATATTAGTTGCATCCGAAGGAAAGCCTTTCGTGTTCTTGTCTATTGAAGACAGTCGGCTAACGTCCCAGATATGAAGACATTGGTCCATTCGGACCCTGTCAAGGCCCACCGCTAACAAGCCTGTAGTATTGAACGCAACGGCCTGGCATGTGCGGGACATTTTGAGGCCCAGCTCAACATATGCATTGGAACCATCGTCAATCCTCAGCAAGTTTACGATGCCACTTCCAGTGCCAACAGCGAGAAGGCCGGGGTTAGTCGGTGACCAGTCGTAAGTCGTGAGAGGCGGGAAGTCATCGTGACGAGTAAGCTTCTGATAATCGAACCGTCCCGCTCTTGCATGACCAGTCGGTTCATAAACTTGGACCACGCGATGCTGAAGGTTGATATGAATGAAGTTGTCATAAGAAGGGTTGGACGACCATTTGACGAGTCCTGGCTCGGGGCGATCCATAGCGGAGAATGATTAGCTCGAAGGCGTGCTTCATGCAAGAATTTATAATATTCCAATTGTTCTGTTCAGAGCAGCATTTAGACAAGAGAGGTTCGATACAACTCAGAACACAGTTGAGACAGAGGCATTAAGTCACGTAAGATAGCTCTGCATCTGAGTCTGAGTTTGAATTTGGAAGTAGATCGACAGGGAAAAGTTTTGAATTCGCGATTTCGAGGATTCCTGTCGATGCCATTAAATCAAGAGTCCGTTGAATTGTTTGGTATCGGATGAATGAATGGTGTTGAGCTTAGATGGATTGAGCTTCTAGGAATAGACCTTCCCCACACAATGGAAGGAACACAACGCTAATCCAGAACTGGAGGCAGTCGATAAGATAAGGTACCGCTACCTGCATCAAAGTCCCCGCCAGTAAAAAAAAAGTTGACCATTTCTAAGTCTCTTTATTATATTCAGTCATTTTGATCGCTTTTCTCTTCAGATAAATCGGGCATTTAACCCGCACAGTCTTCCCAGACACAATCAAGATATTTCATTGAACTAAAATGGCGCAAAAGAGAGAGTATTCAGAGGTTGGCTCACCTGAGCCTCGAGACAGAGCATCTTTCAATGGCGCCAAGAAGCGCAAGCAGAGCAAGACGAAGCACCGGCCGAACGAAGGGACTTCAACATGGGCCAAGAAGCGAACGCGAACCATTGAGCGACTCCTCAACAGAAACCAAGAACTACCCGCCAATGTTCGCAACGATCTCGAGCGAGAGCTGGGCGCGCTCAAGGCTACAGTTGACGACAAGAGCTTCCAAAAGCTACGAAGTGCCATGATCTCGAAATATCACATGGTTCGCTTTTTTGGTACGATTATTTTTAGTCCTATGTCGGATGTGAAGGGAAAGGCTAACCTGCTGTGCGTAGAGCGAAAGAAGGCGTCGAGATTAGCGAGGCAGCTGTGCAAGAAGATTGATCAGACCGAATCGACAGAAACAGAGGAGCTCGAGGGATTGAAGCGCGACCTCCATATTGCTGAAGTGGACGAGGCATACACTCAGCACTTTCCCCACGCCGAGCCCTATATCAGCCTCTACACAAACGCCAAATCGGACAAGCAAGAGGAAGAGAAGGATGACGACAAGCTTGACTACACACCCCTTAAGCAGAGAGGCCTGTTGCACACAGAGAGGCCGCCAATTTGGTCGGAAGTTGAGCAAGCGATGAAAGATGGATTTCATGCGCTGCGAAATCTGAGGGAGAGACGGCCGGCTGAGGTTACAGAACCGACTAAACCCGAGCGCAACCAGAAGAAGGCCAATGCATCGACAAGCAAAGATAAGACTGTGCCAGCTGCGAAGGCGCAGCCCAAGAAGGAGACCAAGCCCACTCCTTACACCAAGAGCAAGCCAGGGGCAGCTCCCAAAAATCGCAGAGAGCGCCGACTTGCAGAACGCCAGGGCGCACAACCTGTTGTCAAGAGTGACGATGATGATAGCGATGAGGGTGGTTTCTTTGAAGAGCCTTAATAACTTCTGGGATAATATGAAAAGAAGAGTCGAGTCGAGTTGAGCCGATTGCAGGGGCGTGGGAATGATTTTTACATATTGCATTCACAGTTGTTGGTAGATACCCTGTGAGACCGGCGGGTCGCATCCGATATGTTGCGTTTCAAGCCTGTCTACAACCAACACATAAATCAAGCGTTGTCAAGTTCTCAACTGGATTTTGTACATTCATGTCAAAAGTGTAACAACCGCGCATGAGAGATCTAGACCAGGCTACATGCACAGATTCTACCTGATACTCTTAGAATATGTATTGCGACCAAGAGCGCCAATATAAAGCAGTCTAAATGCAACTCTATAGTAGCATCCAGTGACTCAACTATTTTGTCTCGTAGGTACCCTGTGGAGGCTTTTCTGACGCCTGTCAATGTCAATCAGCCTAAGTAACTCCACCAGAGCCAGCCAGCCAGCCAGGCCATGAATGCCGACCCCCACAGCCACTTGAACTTGTATCCAGCGCTTCTCTTACACGCAGCCCAGTTAGCCATCCGACCAACAATATCAATACAATACGGGTCAATCAAAAGGCAGGCTGTCGAACTGACCCTCCCTGGCCGCATTTTCGATCAACTGTTGATTCGTCGCTGCGCTATACTTACCTATGGGAAGCCCCAACTGTGATTCATGAACTGTAACTACCTACCTATAAATTGCACCCACCTCACACCCTTTTTCATTGTCAGGTTCCTTTAATCCAAAGCCATCGTTTCTTTCTTCCTTCTTTCTCTACTGCACCTTTTTATCTCATCTTGTTTACTTTTGGATCATCAACAGTGAATCATCACCACTCTAACCCATCTATATATATAAACCATGGCCAACCAAGGCTCCAGCAACACCGAACAAGGAATTCCTTGGGATCGACTCATCCAATTCGCAAATAGCAAAAAGGCTGAAGAAAAGATCACCGGGAAACCTGCACAGCTGGAAAAGCAGCAGCTTGCCGCAATCGCGATGCTCATCGAACTTGTTAAGGACATTGAAGTTGATGACACCTGCGTGAGTCGGCTTTTTGGTAAGTACTCCTCTCTGACACATATTCAAGGCGCAATCGTTGACTAGTTTTCTCTAGAATACTGCCAGCAGAAAAAGATCACAACCCCCAAATTCACTTCAGAGACATTCAATCAGTCCGTTGCGGGTACAGTTATCCCGCGATCTCGCGTCATCTGCACATTGCCATCCAACAACCAGCAGTTCCCCCAAGAGGGCTATGGCTACGCTTTTGGCGAAGAAATTCCAACTTTCAAAAAGGCACAAAAAGCGAAGAACTTTGCAGCTATGCAGGCACTCAACTGGCTTCAGGGACAAGGCCCAACATCATCTAGAGGCGAGAAGCGCCCAGGTTCAGTCATAGGGGAATCTCCTACTCGCACGAAGAGGAGGACTGAGGACGAAGACAACCCTAACGGCAGTACGCCGGTTTCAATCACGGGAAAACATCCCAATCAGACCAAGACCGAAGAGGAGAACAACTCTGACGGCGGAGCGCTGACGGCTGATTCTTCGCAGGCCAGTGATCCTACGCCGGCTTCGACTGCTGGCATTCAGGGACCTACCATTCGTGAGCGAGCTGCTAAGCTTGGTGTTGATATGGAATTCGGCATCCCAAAGTATTTCGTTGAACAAGACAACGAGGGAGAAGACACTTGGAAGGGGCGGCCCATCTTCCGGCACGATGGTAGAATTCCTCCAGACACGGGCGTTGTGACTGGGGTTAAGGGACGGCAGCAGGCAGAGGATTTGGTTGCACAGAAAACTCTCGAGTGGCTAGAGGGTGAAAAGAAGAACAGGGACACGCTATATGAGCAGATGATAGCTTCTGTTCCGAGACCAACTTGAGCGCCTTTCTTGCTCTTGTCGTTTCCTTGCCATGGTTAAAAAGGGAAATAGGAAATGCTTTTGGGGCTTGGGCTTTGGGATCTGGAAGAACGGATGCGATCGGAATATTATTCGGGGCAGCAACTGAACAACAGAGAAATTATCTTCCGAGACTCAGTGTGCCAGAACATGGTAGCCCAAACGTTACTTTAAGTTCGCATAATTTGACCAAATCATTTCGTTTCTTGATTATTTTCGCCAGCCAACTTTTCTGGTACCTCCACGGTAGCTATCAATGAATGTCAATAGTCTTCAGAATGCCATGGATGTTGCTCTGATGCAAGTCACAGCCTTTTGATTCATGATGTCTGCTCTAGGAACCGCCTCGTTTGCCTCCTCTTCCTCCTCGTCCACCACCTTGGCGAGGGCCCTTTCCAAAAGGAGGACTTATCTTCAAGTCAGCAGGCAGATCAGCCACCCACTGTCCATCCTGCCATAGCACGCCAACGTCGACCTTGCGTCCTGTCACAGACTTGAAGTACTTTGTGCTCAGGATGCCCTGCTCGTCACCTTCAGTCAACAGTACACCGTTATCACTCAACCACCACTTGATGCCATCCTTCAAACTCGCCTCCATGTCAACCTCAATGATCAGCTCTGCATCCTTGCGCATACCGCTCACGATGCCTTCCTCGGGTGTTCCTGCTGAGCAATGTACGTGATTACGGCTCATGGGTTTCAGGCCACCCGTTTCCACGATGGCAGGCCAGAAGTAAAAGAATGATCCATGTAGGACACGCTCGGGGACATTGCCAGCCTCGACGGTCACGGGTGTAAGAAGATTAGCTGACTCAAGCTTGATGGAGTGGCCTTGGTTGGCACGGATAAGATAGTCAGCTGGTGAGGTAGATTTGGTATCCAGAGATGGATTTGTAGCTGGGTTTGGCTTCAGGGTGAAGCGCTGCTTGCCGTCTGCAGAAACTGTGGCTTGGATATCGCTGAGTGTAGCCTTGAGAGATTTCAATGGATTCCACGCGAGCTAGACAAGCATGTTAGCCCAACTTTCCTCTTTACAGAGAATGCAACGCAGCTCTCTAGCTGATTTTCGCTTACTCACCACGGCATCTAGACGTGCGAATCCCTCGTCGTCAAGTTGAATACCAGCATTAGCCGCCTGATGTCTCAAGAGCCTGGACAAAGCCTTTGAGACCTGCACCTCTCGACCTTGGCCGCCACCACCGCCGCCACCACCTCGTCCCCGTCCCTTATCGCCTCTTGGCTTTGAGTGTTTGCCTTGTACCTTGTCCTCCAAGTCGAGAAGTGCATCTTCTCGAAGTGTGTTATCAGCCATGGTGTTGTGTATGCGCTGTGTAAAAGTCTTGTGATGAAATGGAGTAAAACTAGCCGAACTGCTCTTGGCAACTGAGGATGGTGGTCTAGCTTTCGCAAGGAGGATAGAAAATAATGGATTCCTCAACTTTGATGTAAAGGTGAGAGACATCAACTTGGTCATCAGTCGTCTGTTGAGAGTTTAAGAATTCTTGTGAACCAGGCTGTCAGTGGAGCCCAAGCAGTACCTACCTGCCTGCTGGGTACTACAGGAGCAGTTAGGTAACCTCGAATGCCTGACTGCCAAAATAATCACCCTAAGTGCAGTTTGGCAAATCACGAAAAACGATCAGAATATTTTGTCTCCTATGTTCCGGCAGGGCAATCTTTCTAACACCCTGACGCTATCAATCCGGCCTGACTCAGCCGCCTTTCTCTCTTGAATAGGACTTATAGCTCCCGCTACTCGCCGAAGAGTCATTATTACTGTACAAATCAAACATGTCACTCGTCGAACAGTTTGTTGTGTTTGCCATGACTCATTAATAGAGTCTTGGGGGCTAATATCTCACGTTTAAGATTTCACAAGAGAGCATAGACAGAAATGCAAAGATGCAACAAAGCTAACCATCAGAGATCGTTACAAGCACGATCCAGGCCATCTCGTACATTAAACTGACTCGGTATCCATATGCCTATCCTAATACCCCTGTTTCCCCTTATATTTAGGAATGCTTTACACCATAGGCTCTTGCTTCCTGCGTTGCCAGCCACTCCTCATACGCCATTTTCAAAAAAGCACAACCCTCCAAACACCATGATACTGCAGACCGCACAGAGTGTTCTTGTCGAAAGACTGAATATATACATTGAGCGCCAAGGATGGTGCAGTTCATCTTTGCTGACGCTCTTGATGGATCGTCAAGCCGGGTCGGATGCGAAACAAAGGGGAAAAAATATAATGAGGTGCTTCCCGTCCGAGTAAAAGTAAGAAAATAATGACGTCCGGCGCTCGAAACATAAATATGTGGTTGTACAGTCGTAAAATCAATAAAATAATTGTTTATGACCTTCACCTATAGCTGCCCGCAGCTGTAGAAGGATTGCCCGACGCAATGCTCCCCCTGTTAGGTCTTCTGATCATACTGCCAGTTCGGTTGATCATAGTTGTTTGCCCCAGAGACGTGTAGCGCTGTGCACGCTCTTCTGCAAACTTGTCGGCTACGCTTGTGCCTTGGTCTTGGTGGGTGGACCTCTCCATATATCTCCGTGGAGGAGTTGCTGTGTTGACCGAAGGTGTGACCAGGCGAGACGTTCCAATAGTCGACGAAACGTACCGCCGTCGTGGGATGGCCGATGTGTTCTCAGCTGGCTGTGGCGTTTGATCTTGTGGTACGACTCGTATCGTGTTGAGATCAGTACGAGCCCGAGAAGGTCCTCGGAATCTCGATTCGTCTTCGCTATCCTCGCCAACCGTATTTCTACGGTTACGGACAAACAAAGAGGTTCTGCGGCCTTCATCAGGTTCTTCGGTACCGGCACGTCTAGTTCTCAGGAGGAGCGATGATACTCTGCCATCATCGGGCTCTTCGGTACCGGCTCGGCGAGACCTGGAAACCAAAAGAGAAGATCTCCGACTAGACATAGGCTCGGTTGGAGTCGATGGTATCGACGTTGTCGTGCGAGATGTGGGTAGAGAGCTTCCGTTGAGGATGCTGAGTCGTCTCTCCTCAAACTTGGACATAGCTCTGGGACTAGTCACGCTCTCCTTGGGGGCGGGCTTTTCGCTTCTTCCGATGCTCTGTCGGCGTTGAGAGAATCCAGAGAAGGTCTTATTGACTGTTGGGGTGATGGGCGCTTCGTTCTGTACAGGAGGTGGCACTTCAATTGACTGTCGCGGCATCCTCGTTTGAGTGACTTCCTCACCCAACGCAAGGCAAAGTTCTGTCAAGCTACGGCATACGCTTTCAGCTTTCCGCCTTAATTGGCGATCAGTGACAGTCGTATTCGAGCCAATAGTGCTAGCGGAACCGGAGATTGGTCCGGGTTGACCAGGAGTTCCCATCATGGATGCCAAAGATATGGCATCATTAGCAGCAGATTCAAGCGCTTGATAAACATCAGCATCGAGTAGAGCCTTGGACTTAACAAGAGCAGATTGAAGAATGCTATGCGACTCTCGATGGTGATGGGAAGATGTGGTGCTAACAGCATCGTTGTTTTGGCGGTGGCCGTTCTCAACTCGTTTGGGGGAGGAAGACATGGTTGTCGCCGTCGTAGTCGCCGTCGGCGGTCGGTCGTCGGATAATCTCGATACTGCGGCGCCAGAAGTCGAAGGCAGCTTACCAGTCAGTTCTAGTCGATGAATTCTCGATTTGAGGTCGTCTAGTTCGTCCCATACCGTGGAAGGGGCAGTGTTTGACAAGGTTGATTCAGTTCCTTCACCACCATTGCCGGTGTCGACGTTTGAGTGCATTTGAAAGTCGAAAGATCGGACAAGAGGGGAAGAGTTATATGTCTTGTTGTGACCATGATGCATGGATTTATAGGCAGAGCTTCGACTTTGTCCACTTACGTTGTTGTCAGTAACGGAGGATCGGCGACGGGAGTAGTTCGAGTTTTCAGAGCTGGGTTCTTGGAAGATAATCGATCGTGGTGTCACAGGTGAAGGGCGCATTGTAGATGTAGAAGCTCGCGAGCGTCCTAGGTCCTCCCCAGGGTGCGCCGACGCTGCCTTATCTCGTGGTGTTGTACGGTATGTGGACATTCTAGAGACTTCAGTCGATCTATCGTCTTCATAACCTCTTGAGCGTGAGCGAGCAGTTTCTTGTTGATCAGAAAGTCGTCGTCGAACTCGGGGAGGGGAATTTGGCGAGTGCACAGGAACGACTGAAGATAGTGGTCGTCTATGTGTGAATCTTGGCGCTCGGGACTATTTCAGTTAGCATTGCAAAGTAAAGCAAAGTGTATTTGATGCTTGTACACCAAGCCACAAATGAGCGCGAATTGAGTTCTGGGTGGACCCTGGAAGGACTTGCGCAATATGAGCGCACATGCAAAGCGCACAACCCACTGCGACAGAAATTGCGAGGCAGTAAACAAGAAAGCAAAAGGAAAACACTCACCACTACGCTTCTATTATCATCAGAGGGCTGCTGTTCGTCTGTTTGGCGCTGTGAAGATTCCTCCCTAGCGATCTTTAGAAATACATCCCCGGTATCTTCGTTGTCGAAGGCGCCGCGACGGCTCGAGACGGGGGCTGAATGAAGGGCGTTGTCGTCAGTTCGGCCTTCCAGAGCGCGCAGGGTGCGGTCATGGTTGGTGTCATCGTCTTCGTCGCCAGAGTCGTGGAAACGTGGTCTTGAGTTCATGTCGAGAGTAAGGCTCTTGCGGGAACCTGAAGATCGGAAAGCTCGAATTGGAGGGACGCGGACAGCGGTTGACGGTGATGAATCGGTACTGCTGTTGGTGGAGAGGGGTGGTCGATAAGAGACAGGCGGGCGCTGCGATGCAGACCCTCGTCTCTCATCTGTGTTAGTTCTGGACAACGTCTTGGGCAAAATTAATTCGCGTTGGCCGGAAGGCGATTCAATTGGTGAACTCTCGACTGAGGCACGGAAGGTGAATTGACCTTCCTGGGCGGCTTCGATGGCTTGGAGGCGCTCCGAGTTTAGGGAAGGCGGCGGACCAGTGGAAGAGGCGCCAGCAGTCGATCTGCGCGATACCAAGGGACGGCGAGTACGAGTCTTGGATGTTGAGGAGACTTGTTGCGGGGAGATCGCGTCAGGTGCATGTGCGTCAGAGAAAGATGCGGGCCGCTTGATCCCAGCTGAAAGATGGACCACCGATGACGATGACGATGGCTGAAGCGAAGTCGTTCTAGAATGAATTTGCGATGGCAGCGACGTAGTGGCTTTTACGGGCGCGTTGGATTCAGTGGTGGGTTGTGAAGAGGAATTTCTGGAGAAGAGAGCGGGCGGCTTTGTGTCTGTGGATGGGTCCGTGGGCGCAGAGGTTAATGCAGAGACGGCGTGTTTCTCGTCGCGGTGATGCGTTGTCGGGTGAGAATTGGAAGTGTCAGGATCATTTGTCGCTGGGAGTGCCGCTGATACTGATGCTTGTGCTTGTGCCGGGGCAGATTCAGGCTCTGGGGCGGGCGCTGTGGCTGGTCCACTAACAGCGTCTTTTGGGGCTGGCAAAGGGCCTGGGTCTGACGATATTGGTGCTACTGCGTCAGGGGTCTGGGCCTGCGAGACAGTCGGAGTAATAGAGCCGGGGTCTGGATTGGGTGAGACAATGGACGACTCGATTGATGGTTGCAGGTCGGAAGTTATCGTAGGGGCGGATATTGGAGTTGAGAGCGATGTCGAAACCTTTGGTTTGTAGTTGAAATATTCAATGGTTTGGCCGTCCTTGATTTTGTTTCTTGAATCGAGATTCTGGTGCTGGTTCTTGTTGCGCTTGTATTGGGGGCTGTTAAACGACAGGGGTTCACCCTTATTAACTAGGGGCACACTTCCAAGGCTTCTGCTTCGGTCTGAAAAGCGAAAAGCGGGTAGTTTTGAAGGATTGTGGCTCTGACGATGCAAATCTGCGTGGGCGACGGAGGTTGATGAAGATGAGGAAGCATCGGGTTGTTGAGGAGCTGAAGAGCCCCTGGAAGGCTGCATCTGTTGTTGTTTTTGCTGACTGTCAGGGCTTGGCTGCTCGCCCGCACTGGTGAAACCGCCTTGTACCGTCATGGTCTCAGCTGTGGGAGTATCAGAGCATCCCAGCAAGTGGTTGCAGGTAATAAATACGACGTCAATAAAGTGGCCGGGAAGAAAAAGTCTCGCAGGTGGTGAGAGAGTACAGTATTCGTGTCCAGGTGAGTCGCCCTTTTTAACTTGAGTTGATAATCAAAGTCGTAAGGTATTAGCTATTAGCTATTACAATGAATGAATGCATGCGGTAGTGGTAGTCTCATATAAGAATGGGCTTTTTGAGACAAGCGAATGCCTTGACTCGAGTGTGTGAGAAGAAAGGCCTTGATTTTTTTGGTGGTTGGTAGTCAAAGCGCCTTTCTTGTTCTTGGTAGACTGACTACCTTGTGAAACAGGTTCTACAGAAAAGGACAAGGAAACTTGATCTGCTTGGGTTGTCGTTGTTGTTGTCGTGGATTATATGGAAAGTATTGGATGAGTGAGATAATATGATGTGATTGGTTTTGATATAAGAATGGTAGGTATAGTAGGTAGAAATTGAGAAAGAAAGAGTCGTAGAGAAAGAAGGTCAAGTCGGTGAAGGTGAGGGGACAGCAATGCCCAACCTACCCAATAACTAGAGAGGATAAAGATGGGAACGAATCGACGTGTCCAAGAGACGAGACGAGACGAGACGAGACGAGAGAAAGAAGAAGAGAGGCGGGGAAAGAAGATAGACAGACAGAGGAGAAAATAAAGAGGCAGGTAAGGAAGTCGAATCAAACAAACACAGATGGAGAAAAGACAGTTTGTCGTTGGTTCGTTCGCTCGTTTAATCGCTACTGTAGTTACCGAGAAAGCGAGAGAGGAGGAGATGAGGACATCGACAAGGGCTGTATGTACCGTAACGGATCCCTTTTTCTCCTCTCTCTTTTTCCGTCTGATCTAACAACGAACCAAACTGACCCAAACCAGACAGGGGACCGTCACATCAACAGCTGTCAAGGTGGAAGGAGTCTTGGCTACGGATACAGTTAACTTACTATTATCAGATTGGGCCTCAAAGGACGAGTGACTACAGTAGCGAAGCGAAACTTTGTTTATATGATGGACAATTAAGACGACAAGAAAACCCTGCGTTTCAGAAACAGACACAATCAACAGAGTCATGATTTCAACGTTTGCGTACATACTCCGTACAGTCCATCTCATTGTCAGTTCTATCCGAGTCCAATGTCTTGACTCTTTGAGTCTGAGCTTCTGCAGACTCGGACATGGGTGGCTTTTTGATCTGCAAACGGATTTTCCCTGCAGAGAACTCAACGTCAAAGAGTAAAACGCCGTCGTTTATGACATTTCATGTTGTGTTACAGACTATATCACTTTCAGCGTAGGGAACCTAGGAAGGTCACACACGGCAATTGATGTTGCATAGGTACGAGTACAGAACAGAACACAGAACAATCAATACCCCCTTTTGCCAGCATAACTGATTAATTAATCACTTCAGCTGTTACCTAGTAGAGTTCCTACAGTTACGGGCCGCATGAGCTCCATTCTTATAGCGGCCTGAGCTTCATCCAGTCTTGGCTGCAGTTGCATTCTCTGACCCGTATTTGTACATACATCCCATGGATGTCCACTGCAGTTAATTACTATCCCCATCTCAATCTCAATCTCTTTTCTTATCGAATGCAACTCACATCCCTTGTCGTTCCCCTTAAGCGAGAGCAAAGGCCACCGTTGGATTCAACCGTCCGTCAACCTAACGTTAAACGGAACATGATTCCTGGCTACCAGCTGAACAAGGAATAGCTCATTGCGCCATGGATAGCTGATCCCGCAATTGGTTTGACAGACCCTGACCTTGAGGATCCCCTATCCTTGTGCTGAAACAGAGGCTCTGGGGTTGTATTTGTCCCGTCTAGGTTCTGTGGTACTGACATCTCCAAGCAAAAGCAAACAAATACCACCAGACTGTTGATTGTCTGTCAAATCATGCATCTGGTTCGCACACGTCTCTCTTAGCATGACACTTAACAGTCGTGGTAAACGGGTACAGTACAACGTTGTGCCGAGTTCCACCAACAGAGAGAAAAGATTCCGCGTCTGAGTTTGGCGATTTGTTCTCTCCAGCCCTCAAAAGCTGTGTCGTGGTGGTTAGCAAGGATGGACATCTTATCTTACTGCCATTCCCTTGTCCTTGCTGCGAATACCTTCAACGGCCGTCAAACAAGGCTACATCCTCACCATAGTAACCAGCAGCTGAGCGATTTTTTCCTCCGATTAAAAGGCCGGCCGTGCCCTTCGCCTACTAAGTATTATAAGCTGAAGTAACCTAGTTATTCGAGGCTTCGGACTATCATTTCGCTACTGGTAACTAACTATGCAGATCCAAGGAGCATTTACGGATACTGATACACTGTTACCCGCCCCGCCGGGTGTCAGAAGAATCGACCGTCATAAGCAGAAGAGATGAAATGATTTAGTCATCTTTTGGTAGTTTAGAGAAGCTTTTAGGCTACTTTATTTTGGTAGCCTAAGCCTTAGGACATTTCTTCTGTTACTCACCTGCCTCCTAACTCTCATACTATACAGTAGACAACTGCTAACCAATAATAAGGTCACTGGACAAATGCAAGCGCGGTTTTCTGCCGTGTTCATGTGCACCACTAGCGCAAAGACCAAGTACGTGGTGTTACTCAAATTGTTTCTCTTGTGCGCTTGCCTCCTAGGGTGATGCTGTGAAGGACATCGTTGGATGAAGGTCGTCTTGAAGACGCAGACTCAACCAGAAACATGGCTGCAGTTCTTTAATCCAACGCAAGAACACATCACTTTGCGTGTCGTCTTATACCTTATTTGTCTGGCTGCATGTAAACTCCTCGACAGCCATTCGCCATTGGAGAATGCTTCCGGGTCTTCCTTTTGAGCGAGTGTACATCAGTCTCCAAATCAGAACAATATTAACGCCAGACAATCTTCATCTACTACTCGTCACTTATCAAGACTTGCAAACTTTCAAATGTTCCCAATGTGTTTCGCTTGTTTCCTCTTCCTCTTCCTCTTCCTCTTGGTTTATTACTGAATATGGCAAACTGTTGATATCATGTTGGTGAACTGAACCTCTATATCGTCAAGTTGATAAGGTTCTGGTACTGATACGATGACTCTATGGCACCATTGGATCATTTTACTCTTATCTCTACTGTTGAGAAATCATTAAGGTCCGAACGGTTATTATGTCGCTCTTGAACCCACCAAGTTGGAAGTAGATAACCAAGACATAGCACAATTTAAGTCCATATTTGACAGAGAACTCTGCCATTGCTTCTTTGAACAGTATATGAGAACGACCTGCAGGTGATCAAAGAGCATCATGAATACACTTGTCCCGGGTCGTTGAATTGCTGCATATCTCTTAGTGAAGTTCTAATAGCATGTGCCTGGTGCCATGATAGGTGATGGGCGTTGCAAAAGAAATATTTATTAAGTAACAGAAAACCGACCTTACTCGTGGAGCCCAGCTGACTTTCACTGCTCTCATGTAAATCCACATGTAGTCTTTGCTAGCCTGGTGATGGAAGCTGATCGTTGATGGTGGCTCATGGCTACCATACGGTGTGGTCACTCGAGCCAAAGACACCAGGATAACGCCTTCAGTTCTCAAAACTGGGGACTTGGTTGTTATTTTAGCAACTTCTACTCGTTTGTTTATGGTGTTCTGCCCTCACTGTCTCATCTTTGTTCACAGGCCAAGTTGTCGTGATAATATGACTAGGAAACGATGAGAACTCCGGTGTCACCACAACAAACTTCCTTCGCGATATTTTCTAATTTCAGAACCTTTTGCAACTAACACAATGTATCATTTCACGGAGGAATGGCTTCTCAAATCCATCGTGCAGACCTTACAGAGCCTTCTCATAACGTTGTGCAGTCACCTGGAAGACTTAAAATAGCCTACCCTAAGGCAACGACAGGCCAGGCCCAAGAGGTGCAGATACAAGTTGGTAAAGTCAGAACAAAAGTATCTCAACGAGGGATTCGATGTGACTCAGATGCTTTGGGCTACTTGATTCAATCCTTCCTTTCATGTGTTCATGTCGCCTTTGGGTGACCAAAATTGGCACCAAACAACCAATGTCGTGAACATATCATCTACACTACGACTGCACATGTCGAAAGCTTGCACAGACAAGTACTACGATATACTACGAAGAACAGAACAAGGCAAACAAGAACCAAGAGATTACGATACTGAAAGTCCTTTACTTCCCATCTTGTCAAGTGACCTTAGAACTTGCAAGTTCATACAAGACACGCCAGAACCCAGTTGTACGTCACAGTTCACGCGGCAAGTCTGGACAACAACACTGATTCTGTCACTTATGACACTAACTAAGGCTTCACGCTAGAATCTTCACGCTTTCCTTAGCACACCTAAAATAAAGTAAAGGTTGTGATCTGTGGTTATTTTGCTTTTTGCGCCAGATGAAACTTGTGACCTATCTCACGATGCTAACCTACCTATGTATGAAACATAACAAAGTCCGGGGATGAGCTACGCACACGTATATGAGAGTTGGTTGGTATGGTAACAATAAAAATCTAGTCTTGACTATACACGTCTATTCTATGTGCCCATTATCAACTACAGGAAATATAGTATAGGCTTGGTTCTACGCAATGTTGTCTATATCTAGCTACCCTGTCCTAAACAGAAACTATCCATCTGCAAGTGTGAATTAGGTTCCCCAACAAATATCAAAACCAGCGGATATAGAGTCAGGAATACACGTATAGGTAGGTGGCCAAGATTTGATCAGATGGATCAGTGTTACCTTGTGTACAGTAATACGGTAAGCGTCCGTCTTCACCATCAACCTGAAACATAGTGATCGTACATCCTTGCACGGAACAACTATGGCTGCATCTGCTGCTGCCGTCCCTACAGTACGGACCGGAAAGGATCAAGGTTGATCACATATCATTTAGACACGCAGGGGACATTATATTGGCACAGTTAGATGGTGCCATCAGACCCTGGGGAATATCTG